TGTTTGAAGCCAGCAAACAGAGAAAAGATACATCTACTTAATTTGTCTAATCCAAAGCTAGAGACAAAACTATTGCTCCACAAAACCAGTGAAGTAATTTTTTTTAATCATTGGCATATTTTACTATTATCAGAAAAGAATAACTCAAACTGTAAACTTAGCTATAAAGAAAGGGTTCCCAAATCAATAACAGCAGTTATTTAGTGAAATTACAATGTAGCATTCATACATAGAGATAAATTGAAATATCCTTATTTCCAAATGCTTCAAATACTGCTTTATTAACCTCATTATTTTAATATCAAAATAACAGGCTCTTATTTGAAATATGCTGCTAGAACATATTATAAGAGTCTCCCAACATATAGCAGGTGATAATCTGCATAAGAAAAATAAGTACATCAGAAGAGCACAACAGCTCATTTGTATTGCAATAAATACAAAAAGTAACATGAACAAAAAATGTGTGCTGCACAAAATTACCTGGGTGTAACACAGAGATACTACTGGCTGTTCACTTCCCAAATCTTCTGATTCTTGCTGGATTGTGTGAGGCAGAACTAAGCCTAAATCTTTCAAAAGGGCGCAGTTTCACTCAAACCTAGGCTAGCCAATTAGGAAAGAAAATGACTGGACAGAAATGCCAGCTTGGCTCTAAGTGTGCCTTGGGTATATTTGTGATCTGAGAAGGAATGGATGGACTCTGCATGCAAATCAAAGATATTAAATTAAGAATGGTCATGCCTCTTGTGTTTGCTTTGTGCGAGGACTAGCTTTATGACTCATTCTTTTGGACTACATCACAAGAGCAATTGCAATAAAAAGTACAAGGATTGAGAAGTATTTAATCTTTCTTCTGAGAGGTACTTCTAAAATAGATTTTTAGCTGTGCTGAACCTAATGAACCCTATCTAGATCTACAGAGACATTATTATGTGTGCCATTTTCTAGTTATATTTTGATTAAAAGTTATATAGAGAAATGCAAAGTAGGATGCTAATTCATTGCTGTTTAATTAATTTAATCCCTTAGAAGCTGAAAGCAATTACTGGAACAAAAATTAAAGTGCTATCTTTACTACGTGCTAATAGCAAAAAGGAACTTTTCATTTAATAATTCCCGAATTTATGGTTCTGCCCTGCCTTGACCTTATGACACAAGAGGAAATGCTTCTTTACCACCTTCCCCGCCCAAAGTTTTTGGCCAGAATGATGGGTGATGCTGTAGAAGAAAGACCATGTGAGAGTTACAAGGGGAAGGCTGGAGCTGAGCATTTTAATCAGGAGCTCAAGTATCCCACTGGATACTTGAGTGTGGATGTCAGAACTGGGATGCAAACTAGTAACAGACGGCACAACCTTGTTTTCCTCTGCTTTTCAACAGGAACTGTGCCAGCATATAAATGGATAAGCCTTACCACCCTTAGCAATTAAAAAACCCCACACACATCGGCCTCTCAAGCTGCATAAATAAAAATAACACTTTTTTCTGAGCAAGTATTCTTTAAAAATGTAGCATTTTATCACACTTTTGCCTCAGCAGTGAATGAAAATGGGATCAGCCCCCACCACAGCAGAGTCTTCTGGGCTCACGGAATGATCTGCTTGACCTCTCCAGTATTATCCTGGATTTTTAAAACAACAGGTCAGTAAAATATTACCCAAGTATTCTTTTAAACTTTTTAAATCCAGAAAAGCTGCAATAATATCAAGGCTCTCCTATCTTACCTGCAGTAGCGCCAGTGCCAAATCCATCCTGACTTTTTCAAGTGTAACATTCTTCCTGCCTACTCTACATTTTTTCTTATACCTCCTTCATGTGTAACATAGTTACTCCTCATACAATATTCCTGAGAACAAGCTCCCACTGTAAGCTATGACTGACCTATCTGAGCAATTTCAAACAACAATTTGTTGAGCTTTTATTATCAAACCTCACACTTGGTGCCTACCTGCATATAATTTTTGGACTGGAATTTTGATTATTGTGTCAAGACACTTTCTCAACAGCCAAAGCTCTTGCACAAGCATTAAAACCATAAAGTTTTAAATATAATCAGTTTCCATGGATGGAATTTTATTAACTAATTTTTATACATTAAAAAGGTACACATTGATAGAGAAACAAGATTCTCAGACAACATATTCAACGGCATTTCGATCAGGCATGCTGTTGCTGAAACAAAGTTCTGCTGCCATGTCATCCTCAGCTGTTTCTTCTGACTTTGGGACATCTCTTCTGAGCTGAGATAAATGTGAGGCTTAGCAGTGAAATAGTCCAGGAATTTTAGCATGGTATTAAAGCTGGTTAGCAAAAAACCCGCAAAAACCCAAACATCTAAAAGAGGTTATTTTAGTGCAGGTCACTCAGTGTGTTACTGAAGTTGCATCAGAAACCTCAGTCTTCATTTAAGCTGAACAAGTATGAAGTGGTTGCCTCATATTCCATCTATGACAGAGTCTTCCATTCGGGAACAAGAAAGCTACTAAAATAAAACCTAGATCTTCAAAACCAGAAAGATTGCTTCTGTCGTTCCTTATAGAAATTCCTGTCCTTTTTCCTGTGGCCTTTTATTAATTAGTCTTTGAAGGGGAAGGTGCAGTAAATGATACAAGGGATAGTGAGTGGAACAACATGGTGTAGCAAGCCTAACTAGCAGTGTTTGTTTGTAAAAAAATAATTACAGCATTTGCCTGAACAAAAAAAATCAGCAAAGTCAGAAACCAAAGCAGGACTGAAGGTAAGATGCTCCTGCAGGTAGGATTTCCTGCAAAGAAGTAATGCTGGTGTGAGTTACTGCAACAAAAGAAGTTTTCTTACAGGGAGAATTGAAAGAGAAAAATAGTAGCTGATATCTGCTGCAGATAGAAGAAAGTTCTCTATTATAATCTTTGATTTTTTTTTTTAATTAAAGGTATGACAACATGGGATCTTCATATAAATCTACTTGCCTTTAAGACTACACTTCTTGACTGATCAAGCATTACAGAACAGTGCAGAATCACAAGAGGCCATGCCCCTGTGATTTACACAGTGCATGAAAAAGAGCAAGTTCTTAGTTTTTGGAAGTTGATTGAGAAACAGAACTTCAAAAAATTGAACCAGTCATCTGTGCAGGAGAAAGTAGCCATGGCCACCTGAAGTCTTACAGAATTTGGGGTTTGTCTGGGATTGTCTCAAAGGGATGGCTGCTGGAAAGGTGGAGACAGTACGGACTAAACTTCTGAAAGAGAATCTTGACTATTGGTGTTATTTCTGAAACAAAAGGTTTGGAGGCAAGCCTTTCTTCTAGTGATCTGCTGTCTCAGGTCATACAGCAATATTCTGGAAATGGACTGACCAGTTCGGGATCTGCCAAACACACAAAGAAGAGTCACCCTTGCCTGTAAAAATGCAGGCTGACACTGTCTGTGGATATGGCTAGTCCCAGCATTTGTGTGTGTGTTGGTTTTGCATGGCCTGGTCTTTGGTAGCAGCAGGGGGAATGGAGATGGCTTCTGTGAGAATCTTCTAGAACCTTCCACCATGTCTGGCAGAGCCAATCCCTGATGGCTCTGAAGATGGACATGCTGCTGGCCAAGGCTGAGCCAACTAGAGATGATGGTAATGCCCCTGTGATAACATATTTTAGAAGATATTAAAACAAAAGTTGGGGTTGCAGTTTTAATTCTAGTTCTAGTCAGAGAAGAGGAGGAGGTGAGAACGTGTGAGGCACGAAGGTCAGTGAAGAAGGCAGGGGAGGAGCTGCTCCAGGCACCGGAGCTGGGATTCCCCTGCGGGCCGTGGTGAGACCGTGGTGAAGCAGCTGTGCCCCTGCAGCCATGGGGATCCACGGGGGGTGCCGAGATCCAGCCGCAGCCCGTGGGGGAGATGTTCGTGCTGGAGCGGGTGGATGCCTGGAGGAGGCTGTGATCGTGTGGAGAGAAGGGCCCTGCTTCCAGGCTGGAGCAGCCTGTTCATGGAGAACTTCTCCTGTGGGAAGGGACCCCACGGTCTCACAGGGGAAGGGCTCCTCTCCCTGAGCAGCAGAAGAAAACCTCGGGTGATGAACTGACCAAAGCCCCCGAGCTCTGTCTCCCTGCGCTGTCGGTGGAGAGGAGGGAGGGGTTGGGAGAAGAAAAGGTGTTTTTAATAGCTTATTTCACTTATCATTATCTTCCTCTTATTTTGTTAGTAATAAATTCACTTTGTATCTCTAAGTTGAGCCTGTTTTGCCCTTGGAGTATTTTCTCCTGGTCCTTAACTCACGAACCCCACCTTAAATTTTTCCGTCCTTTGCCCAGCCGTAGCAGTGGAGGGTGAGCAAGCGGCTCTCGTGGGTGCCTGGCACTCGGCACCCACAGTGTCACACCACGACAGTGTGTCACACGCAGAGCGCTCCCCCGCCAGGCCCGCCCCTGCATCCCGGCGCTGGCAGTGGGGCGCAGGGAAGGCAGCGGCTGGTCAGTCATGGTTGCGGGGAAAAGTGTGGGACAGGCGTGGGAAGATCCCGAGGGCAGACGAAGAGGCAAAGGACGGCAGCAATGCTCTGTGGGAAAAGCGCAGGTGCTGCCCAAGCGCCAGCAGTGCCGGCGGACAGGATAACATTTATCTCTTGCCGGCTGCCAACCACAGCGTTAAACTACGGAAACACACCGCTGCCTGGGAATGGCGACCCTTCCAGGGGATAAGGGCCGCGGGAAGGGCAGGAAGGAGAGCTTCGCGCATCCCTCGCGGCCGGCAGGAGCGGGAGCCCGGGCGAGAGGGAAAGTCGGTGAGGGGACGCTGCAGGAGCGGAGCCGGGCGGGAGCCGGCAGCAGGAGTCGGTGAGGGGACGCTGCAGGAGCGGAGCCGGGCGGGAGCCGGTGAGGGGACGCTACAGGAGCGGAGCCGGGCGGGAGCCGGCAGCAGGAGTCGGTGAGGGGACGCTGCAGGAGCGGAGCCGGGGGGCAGCCGGAGCTCCTCCCGCGGGGCGGGGCCGCGGCCTGCCGGGAGCGCGTTGTGACGCAGCGTTCCCGGAAGCCGCCCGGAGCTGAAGGAAGAGCGGCCGAGAAGAGGGTAGGGGAGGCAGTCGGGCTCTCGCCGCGGCTGTCGGTGGCTCGGCGGAGCCCTCCGACTCCATCCCACTCTGCTTCCATCCCTTCCCGTTCCATTCAGTTCCATTGCCTGCCGGGGGCCATGTCGCTGTTCCAGTCCGCCCTGGACTTCCTGGCGGGCCCCGGCTCCCTGGGAGCCGCCAGCCGTGACCAGAACGATTTCGTGGGGCAGACGGTGGAGATGGGCGACATGAAGCTGCGCATCAAGCGGGTCATCGCCGAGGGTAAGAGCGGACGGCAGGGCCGGGCCGTGCAGGGCGGACCCGGGCGCTGCGGGGTTGGGATGGGCTTTCCCGCGGGCCTCCCTCTCCCGTTTTCCCCGTCTCCTGTTCCTAGACCGGGAGGGTTTCCTCCTTGGCAGGCCGCGCCCGGGTGGGGGCGAGCGGGCGGCGGCCGGGGCCGTTCTGGCTCCTCGGGAAGGGCTGGCGGTGTCCGTGCTGTCCGCGCCGAGCCGAGCCGGTGTCCCCAGGCACGGGGGGACGGTGTCCCCAGGCACGGGGGGACGGTGTCCCCAGGCACGGGGAGTCGCAGCGGTGCTTGGTATTACTGTCCCGCATCAGGAATAGCCCCCGAGGGCCGCTGTGTTGTGTGGCCGTTTCTTCGCTTGCTTCGTGGTTTAAAATGCCTTCACCACATAACAGAACTCAGAGGAGTTTGTAGCCTGTCACGGTCTTTATAACCTACCAAGGACCTCGTGAAAATTCTGGATTGCGTGGTTTTTTGGTTTTTTAATTGTTTGTTTGTTGGTTTTTTTTTTTTTTTTTTTTTTTTTAAAACAAAATATAAAAAGTTATCCCAAAAATGAATCACAATATATAACGTTATGCCAAACATGCAAGGTTGCCTCTGTTGTTTGGGGTTGATTGGAGGACTGTGGAATGAGAAAATGTTTGCTTTAAACACGTCTGTCAGGAGGCTGGTTTGACTGTGCACATAGACTTTGCTAGAGTACAGGGAGTTAAATGTCTGGGCAGTTTCCAGTTTAAGTGAAGCTTTGGGTAGGTAGCCTGGCACACAGTTTGTTAATCTGTTTCAGAAAAGATTATACATTTGATACATGCAAATTACTTAGATATTAGAAGAAGTTTGGATTGTCTTAATGCTTGTGATCAGAGGAAATATTTATTTCCTCCAGCAGAAAAACCATTGAAGGCTACTCTCAGAAGACTAGAATGTGGATTTTTCTATACTACTGCAGTTAAATATTTTATTAACTTTGTAGAGATGGTTGATGTTATGTAGGTTAAATACCTCAAAACTCTATTTAGAGCTCCTTTTGGTTGTTGGAGTTTCTTTCTGTAGTTTCTTCTTGTAGTTATCTGATATCTAAGTAGTTTTCTGTTGAAATCTTGGTGATCAGCATAGACGAAAAATTTGGTTAAAATTAGCTACTTCAAACCACTTGCAAGGTACTTATAAAATTTTTGAACTGTAAAACAACAACAACTAGGTCTTCACTGCTTTATCTTCTTAAGGGCCATAATTTGTTGCTTGAATGCTCAAGCACTTTTGGCATATGATCTTAGAGAAAACCTGGCAGTTTCCTTTGTAGTAAGTTGCGTTTTAAATGGTACTAGATGTCATGCCCTCCCGTTCTGTCTTCAGCCTGTACTTACAGCTTCTTTACGGTCAGAGCTGTGACTGAAATGTAAGCACTGAGTAGGATGTGAATGCTAAAAGAACTGTCTGTGCTGCTGATATTGTAAAATTCTTGCCAGCAGTGACCACAGCAGTTACTGAAGGACAAAGGAAAGTTAAGGCTGGAAGCTGTTTTTGAGGCGTATATACTATTTGGTTCTTGGTTCTGGAGCAGGTATTTTAATGCTTTACTTTGACAGCAGCCTACTGTTTTCCAGAATATGACACAGGCATTGTAAAATGTCAGGGGAAAGATGCCAAGTTAGATGACTTAAAGCAAATGGAGACATGCTTTGACTCTACAGTTCTTTACAATTTCTCTGTAACCATTGCTTTGTGTTCCATGTTTGTCTCAGTGTTAGAGTTTCATTTTAGGTTGTTTTCTTTCCTTATTTTGCTAACTGAAATTGAGCTAGCTGCTTGCTTTTTCTGGAAAATATAATTTTCTAGCCAATGTAGCTGGTCTAAAAGAGCCCTTGCAGTATATTGAGTATAAAGGTAAAATACATGTAAAATACAGAAATCCCAGCCTCTCCTGAGATCTTCACACATTAATTTGTCTGTAGTGTATAGTTTAATTTGTTGCTCAAATTGCATTTATCTTTCAACTCTGGACCTGTTGTGGTACCTTGTGGTACTGTCTGATACATGGATCCACAACTGTGGCTTACCTGTATTCCCTTCCATGGTTACAAATATGGGATCTGTTTTTCTTCTAGATCAGTTCTTTCATGCCGGATTCCCTTCTGGAAAGTCAGGTGCTGCTTTCTGAATCTGGATTTCAAATCCATGGTGACCTGTGTGTCATCTGCCAATGCAGGCTTTTCTGTGGGCTCGTACGCTCAGCTTTTTAGCTGGTGTGAACAGCGCCTGTGGTTTAACATTGCATGCTATCGTGTGGTAGCACAGGTTCAGTTGTTCCCCTAGACCACAATTCCTTCCAGCTCTGTAGTGTGCACCAGTGCTGGTACAAATCCATGTTTGGCTGTGCTCTAGGCTGAGAGTTGTTGCACAGGTTGCGTTTTCCTTGTTGTTTCACAGGGGTGTTGTGCTGGGGTAGGACTGGGCTGATTGAAAATACGGTGTGCTGCTGCAGGAGGCTGACAGCAACCTGTGAGAGATGAGCTGGTGATGATCTCTTTTGCTGATACTACCTCTAAATGCAAAAACAGACCAAGTGTGTCACAGACTAGACTGAGAACTTCTAGAATATGGTATCTTGTTTTTTTCCCTACTTGGACATTTCAGTAGCTCACTGCCAAGATTTTAGAGGACTTTGGTGGGGGACTTTACATATAATCCCCACTTGTTCTTGGTATGATAATGGCTTCAGGTGTCACGGCTCTCTTGGATCCTCTTGTTAAGCGCACAGACCCCCACACAATTTTACTTCAGTAAAATAGTCACAGATTTCCTGCCTAATTAGTGAATACTGTTGCTTCTTTTGTATGTGAGACTGAACAATTTAGAATAAACCAGATTGTGTGAAAAACGGGGAACAAGCAAGTTCTGTAGCACACGCTTAACAACCATTCTTCACGTGTAATGAAATCTTGTGCTTCCTTTGAGTAACAAACATTGACAAAAAAGCACACAAGAAGAGAAACATGATGAGAAAAAGAATGCATTATTCAGTCTGTTTGATCTGAGTCTAAAGCTTTTAGAATAATGGAAAAAATCATTCCTTAGTCAGAAAGATGGCAATAGCTACGGACTTAAATGGGTGCAGACTTTAACATTCTTTTTGCACTTAAAAATAGATGTCATAAAGTTGAAGCCACATAGGTAGGTGGTCATATCAAATTGTTACCAGCTGTTTTCTGTCAAGGTGAAACTTTTGCAATTAAAGCGACTTTTTTTTTTTTTTTTTTAAATTTTATTTATTTACTTCAGGGCTTCCTCAGTATTTTGAGTGTGAACAGACAGTATTACAATTTGCCAAGCTTATAGGAACAATTCTATGGTCTCTGCAACTACTAGATTCATAGGATAATGATAACCTAATTAAGTCCAGGTTTTTTTGGTGGATTTATTTTGTAAACCTCTAGCAGCACAGGCATGCTTAATGCCAAGTTTCTGTGAACATTGTTAGTTTTATTTGCTGACAGAAAAGGGAAAAAAAAGATGATTCCTAAAGAACAACTAAAGCACCTGACCTAGCAGCTGTCCAGCTTCCATTCTCTTTACTGTAAACATAGACAATGTTTTCAACAATGGTGCAGAACAGTTCTGTTTTGTAAAGCTGTTGTTTCTTGGCTGTAGCAATTCCTGCTTGCAGGGGAGTTCTCAAAGTTTGAAGGTATTCTACCTTTCTGCTTCTCAAGGGTGTGGGAAATTGTACAGATCTTTAAGTTTGGGCCATCCTTCATTCTTGAGGAAATTTCGTCGTGCTACTAGGACTTGCAGTGGATACAAATACATGACTGGACTTAAAAAAAAAAAGCTTGTGAATCAATGCTTCGCAACAATAACAGAGCAGCTTTTCTATTTTGATACTCTGATAGAAAAGCTTTCAGTTAAAATGCACTGTAACCTACATTCCAGGCTAGAATTACAGTGTTTCAGCCAAGCTAGGGTTGAAACATAAACCACTGAAGGTTGATATGGAAACAAATTTGGTCAGTATTTGGGAGGGGCGTAGACAAGTCATATCAAATAGTTACAAACAGGAAGCTACTCTCACCCTCACCTTCTCATGACTAGTTAAGTGTGTAAAGAAACAGTGAGTGAATTACAGTAGCAAACACTGTTATGATGTGCTTGATGTCCCTATTTTGATGCTTCTCTAGCTGTCATTTTACTGAAGCTGCTTATCTGAAAAAATAATTTTTGAAGATATGTGAAAAGGGGACATGATAAAAAAGAGCAGTTTAAAATCCAACTTGATGTGTAAATGCAGTGAAATTATTCAGTATTATGTGATGCCTAGGTCTGACTTGAGGGAGAATCCAAATCTCTTGGTTGGAAAAGCACAGGTCTTCAAATCTCTGTAAGAGAGTGATGAAGTACTGACAAGAGCACTGCCTGAGCCTGTGGTGGTGCAAGGATAAGTTGAGAGTGCTTGCTAATAAATAAAGCAAATAAGGTAGAGTTAGTTCCTGATTTTCATGAGATGGTGTGGTGCTCTGTAGTGAGCCTTGATGTGTGAGAGCTTGTGTCTACAGAAAATAAACACAGCTTTCTTCTGCTGTAATTTCTGAACTAGAAAATACTGTCTGAGATGACCTTGGAGGGCTTGGGCTGTCTTCTGAGAATGGGGCTCTGAAATGCCTCAGCAAGGCAAAACCTTTCTCTCTGGGCAATAGCTGGGATGGATGTGTACATATCTCTACACTGGTGATCTGTATGGGGGAATACTGAGATGATTTTGCTGATACAGAAGTCCTCAGAAAACTGTCTTAAAACCATCTACAAACATTTACATGAGTTGAAAAAATGAGTGAAAACACCCCAATGTAAATATATTCTTTAGACACCCTTAGAAATTGTTCTCTTAACTTAGATCTGCTGTATGGGTGTTTGTTGAAAGTGTTTTTAAATTATTTTTTCTAAATGTTTGTAAAATATATTGGTCAGGGGGTCTGGAGTGAACTGTTATGGCAGAGGAGAAATTTTGCCAGTAAGCTTGTCCCTACTGAGGGTATATTAAAAATGCTTTAATAGACTGCTTCTTCAAGAGAGCCAGCATCAAACTGTAAATGCAACTGCTTTTAAGAATGAAGCAGTAGGACTGGTTTTATTTTTTGTTTAAGAGTTGTTTTTGCTAATAACAGATGGCTTAAAAAAAAAAAAAAAAGTTAGAAGTACCTTTACAACATGCTCTAACTCCTTTGGTATCCCAGAAAATCCATGGAATTAAACATTTCTGCTGCAGTAGTAGTAAACCAAACACTACATGTAAGCAGCCGAGTTATATGGAGCTGAATTGTGTTCAGGTGAAAGAGTGATAATGACAGAATGGGAAACTTATTTGACACTGATGTTTTGAGAGGGGCGTAGTTGTAAAAGGTGAGCTTGTAGGCCTCAGCAGATTTCTGTATCTCTGTAATGGAGGTGCAATGAAGTAGAATTTAATCAGGCATGATACCATTGGCTTTTCTCTGAAGATCTGGAAAGTTTAATGAACTCCATTCTGTTTAGCATTTCAGTACTTGATAATAAGATGCAATCACTGAAGTAGAAATGTGTATTTTAAGTTAGTTATGTACTGTCAAACTTCTGCTATCTCAATGAGGTTTGCAGAGTGCTCTTGAGCAAAGGGAAGTGTTTGAGAAAATAGTTTTACAAAAGGAGTTGGAAGGGAAATATTTTATAAAATAACACATTGCAATTTGGTAACAATATTACCATTATGTGTGTAATGTGTGCTTCAGTGCTTGAAAATGCTTTTTGACATGACAGTTATCTTAAAAACAGGAGGTGTTTGTTTAGCAGTTATCTTCCTTAGTTATTGCTGGTTTTTATACAAAGTGTTAGCAGTGGAATACCAAAAAATTTAATTGAATTTATCAGGTGATATTGCTGTACTGCATTTTAGTTTTATAAGAACCTTTTTTAAAAGATGGCTTCATAAGACATCTGCACAGGCAGACTTAAACAAAATGCAGGAAAGTAACAAGTCAGTGTGCTCTTTGCTTATGTACAAGAAAGGAATAGAATATCTGAACTCTTGCTGAATATCAGCAGTGTTGACCAGATGCTGAAAAATGTGTGCTTGGTACATTTAGAAATGTATCTGAAGTCATGTATTGATTCTCTTAGACTAAATTATGTACTTGAATATTATGTATTAATTATGTACTTGAATATTGAAATAAAACTGACTTAATGTGCCGCCTTCTTGCAGGGGGTTTTGCTTTTGTCTATGAAGCTCAAGATCTTGGAAGTGGCAAAGATTATGCTTTGAAGGTAATATTAATTTACTTCACTATAGATTTCTAAGGTCTGCTTGATATTTCAGCTTGATATTTTAGTATGACAATTAGTCCTTGATGTATGCCACTGAGCAAGTAACTTGGAAAAATGCAGTATGTTAGTGGTGTTTGTAGCCCACTATTTAGAATGGTTATTCCAGTTAGAACCCTACCCTTCATACTTAGGTGACAGACAGGGGAATTGGTCTTTTAGGTGCTGCTGGTCTTTATTTATTTATTTAGTGTAGAAAGTCGTGATCCAGTCCAAAACATTTTGATGCACGGGTAAAAGAGTATTTCATAGTTACCTGAAGTGGAGTACAGGCATCTTTTTCACTTGTCAGAAGCACCTTCTGACTTTAAGAGTAAATTTCCTTAGTATTAAAAATAATGCTCCACACTTTGACTCATTGTTTAAACATTTGGCTTGGTACTTTTTAGAGACACTTCTCTGGATTCTTGGTTTCTAGAGGCTTCTGGTAATCAGCTGTAAACAGGGTATTTGTATGAGGGGTGGGAGAGGTAAGTTGACATTATACCACCAGTAATAACTTTGTTTTTTCCATTTCATTCCACATCCTACAGTAACAAAATATGTGACCAGAGCCATGTACTATATGTGTTCAAAAGGTCCTTTAGAAATATCCCCATTAAAAAATAACAGGTAAAAGGTGAACCATTACTATACTTCCTCTGATCTGTAAAACCAGTACTTTTGTAGAGAATGCTCAGGCTGCTTGTAGTCAAATGTTGATTGCAAATCCAGGCAATACTAGAACCAGTAATGCTTAATTTTGCTACTGATTACACAAGTACCATTGAAAAAGCCTGGCTACATAATGTGGAGGCGTTTAGTCTAGAACGAGTTGAAGGTTGTTGCTGAATATTTCAGACAGAAGTTGAATCTTTCCGTGTTAGGCCACAATGCTGTAGCCAGGAGACTTTAGTGCTTTACGCATCAGAACTATCAGAACAGTTACTTTAAAGAGTGTCAAAAGTTACAGCTGCTCAATTATCACTAAACCTGAATAGTCCAGGTAACTGGAAAACTGAGTATTATTTGTGAGAGAATGTCAGAAGATACAATAAGCCAGTTTTGTTTACTGCCCCATTACAGTTCCTTAGGTTTTTGACTATAGTTTATCCTTCATATTCTGTGACAAAAAAAATCTATGCATTGTTATTCTGTAAGTTTCAGTAACCATATCTTCTCAATTATTTTGTTTTTTTTTGACAGCGATTGTTATCTAATGAAGAGGAAAAGAACAAAGCCATCATTCAGGAAGTTTGTTTTATGGTATCCTTTTTAACATATTTAACTGCCTGAGATTAGTGGGTAACAAAAGATAGCTGATTGTTTTTCTTCATGCCATGCAGTGCCTAAGAGGACTGGCATTCTGCAGGTCTGGGTTTGTGGTTTGTCATGAATCTGGTATCATGAATCAACATCCAGAAAGTTCAGTTCTTCAAAAATTACAGTTATACAGTGTGTGCAAATAGTTTTTGTAGCTAATGTAGAATTTGCCATGTACTTCTAGCAAGAAGTGAAATTCTTATTTGGTCTTTCCTGCAGCCCTGTGAATGTCGTCAAGAGACCTTTTGACTTCACATGATATTTAGATTTTAAATAGAATTCCCTCCCATGCACTGGATTTATTGCTCTTTGCTTTTACTCTCAATGTTTATTAATTTCTGCTTTGGATACATCTGGCTTTAAGAAGTAGTGCTGGCTATTAAGGAATAAATTTCAGTGGACTACCTGCACTGGAAACAAGCAGATGTTTCTCAGTGGCCTTGCTGTCCTCTTTATTTTCAGTGATGTCAGATAGTAGGGTATAATGTAATCTCAGTGTGTTTTGAATCCTTGATTTTAGTAAATTCAATATTTTCTCCCTGGCCTGGCTCCTCTTGGACCCTCAGTTTGTTTCAAGAGTCAGCTATTCAGCTGTGGTATGCTGATGCGTTCCCTTCTGAGAGTTCAGCTTCATTTTGAACTAGCAGGCAAACCCACTGATCCTGATTCAAGCTACTCAAATATTTCTTTTTATGACTGCTGATATGTTTGGCAAAATCTTAGCCTAAACACCACTTATGAGAAGTACACTTCCAAGACAGAGTACCATAACACTATACATTTTCTATCTTCTCTGGCATTATCTTGCCAAGAGTAAAGAGCTCTATGTTCTTTAGATGTTTTTCACAGCTCAGAGCCACTAAAGCAGGTGTACAACAAGATGAAGGGTTACTTGTTGCTGACTTTCTGAGATAAGACTGTGAAGTGCAATTAATTTCTAGAGCTCTGAATAGAGGGTTGTGGAGAGATGCATAAGATCAGATTAATATGAATTGTGTGGATCCAACTTGCCCATTTTAACAGCTTTGTTCTACTTACAAAGTCTTTGCTTTTCTCTCTTCAAACTTGATGAATGCATCCTGTAAATAGATTGTGTTTGTCTCACAGGCATGAGTGTCAATGTATGCACAGACAAGCATAGTGCAACGTAACTTCCGCTGACAGGAGCTGAGATCGCTTACACTGTACTCCCCATTACATAGCTCAAAAATGATACCTCAAGTTTGTGAACTGAAAGTGAAACATGATAGAGGTTTTAGCATGACAAATTATTACTAATGATGAGAGATGCCCTTTTAGGCCTCTAATTGTTTTGAACTCTATTTTAATTACTTAAAATTGAAGCATGGCATACTTAATACTTCTTTGGGAAAGATAGGTGAGGATACAATAGCCCTTTCTTGATCAGCCATCTAGAGAAGCAGCTGATAATTAGAAGATGTCCCTGCTACTGCTTCTAGGCAGTCATTGTCAAAAGACAAAAAGAATTAGCCCTGTTACTGCGTCCAGTTTCTTCCGAGCCATAATCATAAGGATTTAAAAATTTTTTTAAAACTTTTTATCAAATTACCTTAGATTTCTTTCTCAGATTTCTTACAGCTGAGGTATGTATTTCCCAGTTTTGCTTAGGGTATTGATTGCAGCTACTATGCTATCTGTGGTTTTAAGCTAACATTTCAAATGAACTACTATTGGATGCAATAGTATCAATGAACTTGGGAGTCATCTTCCTTGAGCATGTTGTCTCCAGAAAAAACTTTCAGGTCATCCCAACATTGTCCAGTTTTGCTCTGCAGCATCTATAGGAAAAGAAGAATCAGACACGGGGCAGGGAGAGTTTCTTCTGCTTACAGAGCTGTGTAAAGGTAAGCTTTATTTCTTTTCCCAGCAGTGCACACTTCTTCTGGAAGCTGTTTTGCACAGGTTGCTTGTTAACTTAAAAGCTTGAAATGACTGTAGAAGATAGCATGGTTCAGTGGAGCTAGAGTTAAAACTTATCTTTTATAGGATAAAGATCATGGGTTTTTAGTCTACAGTTTAACCTTGTCTTAAATATGAGGTAATCATTAAGTTTTTTTGTGTTTGAGACTAGTCAGAGAAAGGAAGGGTAAGAGTAGTTCATTAGAGCACTCTTTCTCTTGTCATTGTAGTCAGTGTGGACTTGCCATTTTCAGAAAATCTATTTAATACAACTCAAGATTTTTTCTTGAGAGGGTCTATTTGTATCAGTCTTTCAAAATTTGCAGTGTTCTCTGTGTGCTTATGTGAATTTCTCTCACTTCCTGCAGGACAGCTGGTGGAATTCTTAAAGAAAGTAGAATCCAAAGGACCTATCTCTTGTGACACAGTTTTGAAGATCTTTTATCAGACCTGCAGAGCAGTGCAGCATATGCATAAGCAGAAGCCTCCTATTATTCATAGAGACTTAAAGGTATGTTACAATATTTAAATGAATAGACTACAAGCAGTCTATCTGAAACAAGCTGGCAGAAAAGTAGTGTATCATGTTTTACTGATTGAATTAGCCTGAGTATTTTGGTTTTGATAAAATATTCAGTTACAACTAGTGAAGTGCAGTTGTGGGTTAAGTAGATGTCTTAATAGAAGAGGTAAAGCTTTGAAGGAGAAGAATATTGAATTATCTTGAAGGATTACATTGCCATTGAGAATGTATAGTAACCTGTTAATTTTAGAACTGGTAACTTGCATTGTACTTCAGTGCTTGTTTATAATTTGAATTGTAAAAGTTGATAGGCATAATTCAGGGTTGATTTTGTTTCTTAGGGGGTTTTTGGTTGTATTTTGTTTAGTTTTTTTTTTTTTTTAATTAATTAGTCTTTACTTGGAATCTATAGGCTTATGCTGTAACAAAGTGTTCTATCCTTAGGAGGTTTGGAGATTTGAAAGGACTTACCTGAGTTTGAATTTTGTATTTTGAAGACAGGGATTCACCTTTACCTGTCCAATATGCCTGTCACTCTTAGATGAAGAAGTCCTCATCATCAGTGAGATTCTGCTGTGCTATGAATATATTTGAATTTTACTTAGCATAAAAACATAAGACAGAGGGGATTCTTATTCTTGGATTTGTGTCTAATTTTCACACGTCTTTCCAACCTGATGTGATTTCATTTAATATAAAACTAGGAAAATTTGTTCCTCCTTAAGTAAGCATGTACTCAATTACTTTGGGGAAAGGAAAATAAGACCGCTTCTAGAAGTAAGAGTGTTAATGATTTTAACACTCTTGATGAAAGCTTTGATGTTAGCTATTAGTATAGCCCATAAATATAAACCTAGCTTTGGTGACAGGGCACTCCTTCTCTGTTTTTTTCGCTTGGTACCATTGAACAGACTTTTAGGTTGTGTCAAAGACACGTTAACCATTCTGCACTGAAATTTCTATATGCTGGCCTCTAGCTTTTGTAGAAAATGTGCATCTCTCTTCCAAAAAAAAAAAAAAGTAAAAAACCTATTTACGAATAAATACACAATTTCTTTCATAGCCAGCTGCGTAGACATTGAGCTAACGTTGTAATTCAGAACTGTTTTTTTCTTCTCAAGGAATGTATCTTCCTGACAGAGCTAAAACATGGGAAAAGACAGGAATTTGATTTTGTGCTGGTCTCATGTTGCAGAGGCTGCAAAACAAGATTAAATGGTTGTTGTGCTGCAAGAGGCAGAGGCATGACTACAGCCAGGAGCCTAATAGGGATCATTTAACTGTGCTACCCTTGTTAGCAGTCTAAACTAAGGTCAACAGCGTAGAAAACTATAATTCAGAGTTTTGAGCCAATTAACTTTGACACCTTTTCCTAACTTTATACAGAGGTACAAATTTTATTTTTCAGTCCTTTTGTGATTATGACTCCAAGTACATCTGCCCAATACTTCTATTCTTTCCTCAAGTTTCTTCCACATTTCAATCAACAATACAGTATGTTTGGAATTTATGAATAAGAAAAAGGCAGGAATAATGGATGATAAACTATCTAGGCAGCACATGGTTCTCAAATAACTGTCTCTGCACAGGGTCACAGCTGCTTCTTTATGGGTGTCTCCTAGCAGCCTGCTTCTCTATTAGTACTTCTCTGTTTTTTGCCTGTAGCAATCGTAACCTTCATCCCACTGCAGCTGAGCTAACAGTGTTCAGTTTTATGCCTGAAAACATTTGGATTCTAAGACACTGCTTGCAGAGTTCTCATCTGAAAAACTGGCCTTTTCTTAGGCTCTAATGAGATTACTTTTTTTTTTTTTTTCTCCCTGAGATTTATTTCTTGCTCTCTGGAATGTTTCCTCTTCATGGTGTGCTTGGTGCTTCCTTTCAAAACCTAGCTCTGTTGCTACTATATAAAACTACAGTAATGTCTGAAATCTTTGTTTTCCTGTAAACAATATTTTTGGCTGAAGTGATTAGTTTTTATGTGTATGCACAAGTAAGATGATGTGTATAAAAGAGCATGTGTGTTAGGATGAAAAGGACATTTTTTAAAATCTGTTACTTTACATCTTTTTGAAGGTGGAAAATTTGCTTATTAGTAACCAGGGGACAATTAAACTTTGTGACTTCGGTAGTGCTACAACTATAGCTTACTATCCTGACTACAACTGGTCTGCACAGAAGAGAGCAGTGGTTGAAGAAGAGGTGAGACTATTTTAATGTGATTTAATTCTAATATCAACAGTGGCTTAATTTAACTGTTAATATTAATCTGATATTAATTTGTGAGATATCTAAGACAACTGAAGATTTTTTTCAGCTAGAGCATTATTTATAAAGCTTTGGCTTTGTGTTAGTTTTGCTAGAGTTCAAAAGCTGTCTGCATTTACAATCACAGCTTGTGTTCTCTAGCTACATGTAGAAACACTTCAGCATGGTCAGTGTCTATTCTGCAGTCTGCTGTGAAAATAAAAGTGGTTACTAGGGCTTCTTCTAGTTGCACTGGAGAAGAAATTGGTTGTGCCACACTGATGTCCACCACCTGATCTGTTTTTCCTCAGTTGAATGATCTGTAAATGAGAGGCAAGTTTGCTCAGCAGAATAGGAGTGGGCATTATTGCAGTGCCTTGGACTACAGTAACCAAATCTAGGACGCAGTATACTTTTGCAAAGTGCATTTGTTCTTAGTTTAGAGTTGAGAGTAATGCTAGCAAATCTAGTGTAGTACATCAGCGGGAGAAATACACTTAAGTTCATGGGTACAACTTCTGACATTACAAACCCCTGTTTTGCAGTCTGGTATTCTTGGAAAGCATTGCACTGATGAAATGATGATGTTGTACTACTGTTTTGTATAGTCTGTGCAAAAAGATGGTAGAAAAGGTCTTTCCAGGTATTCTTATGACCAGAGTTTCTCTTTGGATTTGTCTGCACTGTCATTAAGCTGAGAAAGTGAGAGAGATGCACTGGAGTGTGAATTCACTTATTGGCTAATTGTCAATTTTTGGTATTAGTGTTCCTGTCCATTTTTGCCTCATGTAGAACAGTCACTTCATGTGCTTTGCTGTTTGGGAGGACTCCTGGTGGTCAATGTTGAGTCCTACTGTCTTCACGTGACCTTATGTCAAAGCTGTTGTGACTACTGCAGGATTCAATTGATGGCTTTTCCTTGACAAGTGTTTCTGAAATTAATTTTAAAAATGAGCGTATTATCCATTCTGCATGGAGAGCTGTTTCCTTGGTTGATTGCTGTTAAAGCTCATTGTTCAAGATTGTTTCAATAAATTCTGTCTTCTCCAGATCACAAGGAATACAACACCAATGTACAGGACACCAGAAATGATAGACTTGTATTCAAACTTCCCAATTGGTGAAAAGCAGGACATTTGGGTAAGAAGTGTTTTTTTTTTTTTTTTTGCTGCATCATAGTTGCTCATGTCATAGTGAAACTGATTTTGCAGGCTTTGTGTTAGTTTGTTGATTAAATAACTAAAGCACCGAAATAAATGTAGGATGCTGTCTTAGATCAAAATAAACTTAAGTAGTATGGATTCTGTATCTACATGTTAAAAGAATGAGATATACTATGCAAGGTTTTTTCCCAGATCAAACTTGACTTCTATTTGAAAGGCAATGCTGAACTAACATTCGGTAGAACTGTTGCCTAGTTGGAGCTTGCCACCATAAATCCAGAATACTTAGAGTCCTTAGATTCAAATTCTTGCCTTTCATGTTCTGCCATGCATATAATCCTGTGACAGCCTATTGCTGAGTTCAAAATGGTTATGTCTAGGTATGGAATGTAGCTAAAATACTGACAGATATCAAGAATGAGAGCAATGCAGAGATCATTCATGCTTTGAAAGGATAGTAAGCTGCACACTTTCACTAAATCTGTAGTGAGGATTAAAGGTAAATATTAAATCCTCAGCTCTATCTTTTCCGGTTGCATAATGTTGCAGTACTGAGGTGCTCCCCAGTAGTGTAGCACTTAATGACTTGGTTTATTGGATGTTCTTATAAAGACAGGTGTCAAGCTGTTCAGTTCTTACCTGTATCAGCAGTGTATCAAAAGACAAATTGAGAAAGTGTAATGCTGGTGCTTTAAAAGATTGCATAAACAGTCTTGGAACTTCATTCAGTTTATTAAATTAGTTGCAAGATATTGTGGGAACTCTTGTTCAGTTTCTACAGCTGTTGGTGATGTCCTTGTGGCATGTGAAGAAACACAAAATAAAACACATTCTTCTGACCATTTGGTCTCTTCATGTGCATTAAATACTGTCAGCCTGAGCCAGGATTACAGAATGACTAGGTTGGAAGAGGCCTTCAAGATCATCGAGACCAACCCGTGCCCTAACACTTCAACTAAACCATGGCACTGAGTGCCACATCCCATCTTTTTTTAAACACATCCAGGGATGGTGACTCCACCACCTCCCTGGGCAGACAGGGAGCACTTTACCAGTCTTCCTGTAAAAAACTTCTTCCTGATATCTAATCTATATTTCTTGCAGCAGCTTGAGACTGTGTCCTCTGGTTCTGTCAGCTGCTGGCTGGAGAGAGACCAACCCCACCTGGCTACAGCCACCTTTCAGGGAGTTGTAGAGAAGTTGTAAGGTCACCTCTGAGTCTCCTTTTCTCCAGATGAAATAACCCCAGCTCCCTGAGTTGTTCCTCACAGGGTTTGTGTTCCAAGCCCCTCACCAGTTTCGTTGCCCTCCTCCCGATGCGCTCAAGCGTCTCACCATCGTTCCCCAGCTGAGGGGCCCAGAACTGGACGCAGCACTCAAGGTGTGACCTCAGCAGTGCTGAGTATACAGGGGAAGGATGACCTCCCTGGGCCTGCTGGCCACACTATTCCTGATCCAGGCCATGATGCCCTTGGCCTTCTTGGCCCCCTGGGCACACTGCTGGCTCATGTTCATCCGGCTGTCACCAGCACCCCCAGGTCCTTTTCTGCCCAGGCACTGTCCAGCCACTCTGCCCCAGCCTGTAACGCTGCAGGGGTTATTGTGGCCAAAATGCAGGACTCGGCACTTGGACTTACTAAACCTTATCCTGTTAGACTCTGCCCATCCATCCAACCATTCCAGCTCTCTCTGCAGAGCCGTCCTATCTTCCAACACTCGCAGCTTAGTGTCCTCTGCAAATTTACTATGAAAGACTCAACACCCTCATGCATGTAATAAAAAATCAGTAAAAATATTGAACAGAACTGGCCCCAGCACAGACCCCTAAGGACACCAGTGGTGATTGGCTGCCAGCTGGATGCAGCACCATTCACCACCACTCTCTGGACCCGGCCATCCAGCCAGTTCCTAACCCAGCACAGAGTGCCCCTGTCTAAACTATGGGCTGCCAGCTTTTCCAGGAGTGTGCTGTGGGAGACAGTGTCAAAGGCCTTGCTGAAGTCCAAATAGATAACATCCACAACCTTCCCCTCATCCACCAGGTGGGTCACCTGCTTATAAAAGGAGATCAGGTTGGTTAGATGGGGCCTGCCCCTCCTAAATCTTTGCTGGCTGCATCTGATACCTGGCCATCCTCTAAGTGCTGCATGATGACACTCAGTATAAACTGTTCCATTACCTTACCAGGTACTGAGGTCAGGCTAACTGGCCTATAATTACCAGGATCTTCCTTCCCACCCTTTTTGTGGATGAGTGTCACATTGGCCAGCTTCCAGCCATCTGGAACCTCACCAGTGAGCCAGACTGCTGGTAAATGATGGAGAGTGGCTTCACAAGCTCATCTGCCAGCTCCCTCATCTCCCTGGGATGGATCCCATCTGGGCCATAGATTTATGAACATCAATGGCTCAGCAGGTCTCTGACAGTCTCCTCCTGGATAACAGGGGGACTATTCTGTTCCCTGACACCATCTGCCAACCCAGGAGGAGAGCTGTCCTGAGCACAAGCCAACTTGTCACTAAAGACTGAGGCAAAGAAGGTGTTAAGCACTTCTGCCTTCTCCTCATCTTCAGTTACTAAGTTCCCTCCTACATCCAGTAGAGAACAAAGGTTGGTCTTACCCTTCCTTTTGCCATTAATGTATTTGTAAAAACATTTTTTTATTGTCCTTTACAAAAGTTGCCAAATTGAGTTCAAACTGAACTTTGGCCACCCTAACTTTTTTCCTACTACATGCTCTAGCAACCCCATAAAATACTTCCTGATATACCTGACCCTCCTTCCAAAGATGATGAATCTTCTTTTTATTCCTAAGTTCCTTCGAAACCTCATTGCCCATCCAGGTTTGCCGTGTTAATGTCCAGTCAAAAACAAAACTAGGAATGTGTTCAATAAAATCCTCGCTCAAAAGGGCAATTGCAGTTTATTTTTTGTTGAAAATAACTCTGTATATGTTAATGTTAACATGGTGGTCTCCTTCTGTATTTTAGGAAGATCTGTTTCATTTACCATACCTGAGTTGGAATGTATTGTTCCATATTTTTTCCTTTATGCTTTGGGTTCAATAAAAAATATAAAAGTATTTGGCAGTAGAATATGGCCCTGTCTCTGGAAGCATAAATTATTTGTAGTTTGTGCCTAGGATAAAAAAACCCAATTTTTCAAAGAAAACAGGTAGAGTGATTAACACTCTTGAGTCTGTGTATTTATCACTGCATGAGCTTAAAAACAAAGGAAGTAATGTCTGTCTTAGAACAGCAGCACAGATGAAAGGTTAGTTATCAACCACATTGACTCCACAGTGGGAATGTGATTAGGTGTCATTATAAGTCCAGAGTTTCTTAGACTTGCTGTCTGCTTTCTGTACATTTTCTACCTAAATCTAAAGATCAGAAAATATACACTGAATCCAAATGTTTTAGTTACTTGTTTTCAAAATTAATGTGAATTCCTGAACTCAAATTCTACTGACAGGCTGTTCCTTGTCAAGTGCTTTTTCTCCATGCTTGAAAGGCCCTTCATACCCTCTCACTCTCAAAGATTTTTGAAAAGCAAAGATGTTGACTTCAGAAATGTTTGTTAAGGAGCAAAATTTCAAAGCTGGGTTCTCCTAGCCAATATCTAATTAAAAAGTTTTAATGGTCCATGCAAGACATACTGCAGCTTTTAATTCAATGTGAGCTGAACAATCTCTTCAGGTTTCATGTAGTTTAATTTGACTTAATTTTACTTGTGTCTAATATTTGTGTCATCCTGCAGTTGTACTGTAGAACTTTAGTGTGCTGCTTGTTACCTGAAAATAATCCAGGGAAAAATAACTATTTTTATTTGTCTAAATTTGTTTATTTGTTTGTTTGTTTCTTTCTTATCCCCTTAATCCCCAAACACTGTCTGAACCTTTTAAAAACACCACTGTCATCCTAAGGAAGATTTCAATTAGTTGCTGGTAAAGGCCCAGTAGCAGGTCAAAAGTTACTCCTAGCTATTTTTGATTGTGGTTCTGCTTTTTTACCTTCTGGCTTGTGAGTGGTCAGATGGGTCTGGGTAACTTCTGTAGAAGGACTGTGCAGCTTTGGGACAACATCTTGGGAATGAACTCTTCTGTCAAGTGTAGCAGTGCTGAGGCTGTGTGAATGGTGTTGGCTTTGAGGACTTGCCTTGCTGCAGCTGAAATTGCCTTCTAGACAAATTGAATGACAGTTGGTGTTTAAAACAACCAAAATTTATCACAGTTACAATCCTAAGTTACAGGTAAACCAGAGGAAGTTAATAACATTCTCCAGCAATTGAAGCAAAAATCAAATCTGAGCGGCCTCTCTGTTTCCTGTGTGTTCAACTGATTGCCTTGGTACTTTTCTCTCCTGTGTGGCTGTGGGTGCTCTCTCCTGATGTGCAGAGTATCTTGGGCTGCACAGGGAGTAGTTTTGTTTCTCTAACTAAATGATGATCTGCTTTGTGAGTAAGCATTTTGTGGAGGAGTAGATGCTATTTTCTGTACTGCCCTGCTGAGTTATTTGGTGTGGACTGTATGATGGTTCTGTGTACACTTTACAGAGAGTCTTTCTCCACAGCCTGACAAAAATGTGCAAGAATATACAGAATTAACAAATGTACTTTATTTCTGGTCCTGGACTGAGAGGCTCTCAAAGTATTTTGGAGTAACTAAATCCCTACACCTCAGAGACTTCAATAACTTTCAGACTTTAGAAGCTCTTCTTGGGATAAATTGACAACCAAGGGCAGTTGGAGATGGTGCACACAGAGGGCTGAAGGTAGTGGGCAGTTTTCTTAGGTAACATCTTCAATGGATTGCTTCATTTGTGAGGGCTATAAAAGCCCCAGTGTTTAAGTAACTATACATATTGGCTTTCAGAAGAAACTTAGAAGAGGAATTTTCACAACTCATTATGCCAACAGTTGCGTGGAGCATTGGGTGCTTTATTATCAAACTTTTATAGGTGAAAGTTTGTTTCTTTCTTGAAGAAAGAACATGTTTCTGTTATGATATTATACCTGCCAGCATATTTCATATCTTATTTGAAAACATATGTATCAATTTACATTTACTTCAGTAACGGGTTCAGTTATCCTAGCTAATCCTTAACACCTGGATTATTCAGGTGATTAGAATTCACAACTGATTTCTGTCTTTGTTAGTTTTTGTCTTCTCAGGTTAAAGGAATCTCAAGTTGGACACAGGAAGGAACTTGGAAGTTCCCAAGATATAGTAGTCTGGGTTTTGTGATTTTTGAGCCTTGAATAAACTTGTCTGAAAATGGTCTTAAATTTTATTTGTTCCAAGAGTTGAATGGCTATCTGACTGTAGAGAATAAAAGGACTGTAATTTTGGGCTTATTTTTTTCAAACCTTCATCAGAAGATGCATTTTAGAGAAAGTGTTGTGTGTCTCCCTAGAGTTTTTTAAGCAAGTTGCGTAGTACTTATATAATCACCTAGCTTTTGTATTGCATAAAAATGTATCCAAGTTAGACCAAATTCTGTCTTGACAAATAAAATGTGTCTCCTTGCAGCACAGGATTGAGATATGAAGTAAAACTTCTGAACGTTTTTTGAAAGAATATTCCTGCTCTTGAACATGTTCAGTATGGCAAGACTACTTATTTTTGTATGCTTTGAAATTCATAAAATGGATTTCTTGTAATGACTTCTAAATGATTTTTTAAAAATAGACAGGAATAGTTTTCCCATATCACAGGTGATAGGACAAGAGGAAATGGCCTCAAGTTGCACAAGGGGATGTTTAGGTTGGATATTAGAAAAGATTTCTTCACTGTAAGGATTTTTGGGCACTGGAAGAGACTGTCCTGGGCAGTGGTTGAGTTACCATCCATGGAGGCATTCAAAAGATGTGTAGATATGGTACTGAGGACACGGTTTAGCGGTGGATTTGGCAGAGCTAAATTAACCTTTGAACTTGAGGATCATAAAGGTCTTTTCCAGCCTCACGGTCCCCTGCATGATCCTATGCATAATCCTACGCAGTATTTCTGTTTACCTCTGTAGGCTCTGGGCTGTATCCTGTACTTGCTGTGCTTTAGGCAGCACCCGTTTGAAGACGGAGCTAAACTTCGCATAGTCAATGGGAAATATGTCATCCCACAAAATGACACCCGCTACTCTGTCTTTCATGATCTCATTCGTAAGTTTACAGTATTATTTTATTGGGTGTCTTTGTGGATACATGTTGTTATTAACAGTTGTTCTACTGATAGTTAAATGTTATTGACATGTGAAGGTGAAAAAGGTAGACTGCAGCAACTTCTTATTTTATTAATAATCTTAATCCATTATAGAAAAATAATGAAATTTTATGTGAAAGTTGCTTTTTTAGTTTCTTTTAAGTGTCTTGCATGGTATCTGAATTAGTCCATTGGAACATCTGGTGTTTTGATTTGGTTTCTTTGAACTTGCTTAAAAAATTGTTTGCTTTAGGTTTCAGATAGGTTTCTGGAATTGTTAATTACTGTTCCAGAAATGTATCTGACTGCAATAGTATTAGACACAAAGTTACCTCTCATGTTCTTTCTTAACTGTTCCCAGGGTGCATTCTTTGAAATATTATTGATCCTATGTAGTGTTGTTTTTTTTGCTCATGGATACTATTAAGAGAATTATACTTGGATATTGATTTAGTAATTTCTCCACTCTGTTCAGGTGTTTGCTTATTGCACTGGAATGTATTGAAGAAATTATTATCAGCTGGGAGAAAAGCTTTGAAGTGTTTACATTGTCTGGATCTCCTTTTTTTAGGCTCCACTTTGAAAGTGAACCCAGAGGAGAGATTGTCAATCACTGAACTTGTGAACCAACTGCAGGAGATTGCAGCAGCTAGGAATGTCAATCCTAAATCCCCCATCACAGAGGTAAAAATGTCTCATAAGGAATATAATTGATTAGGCCTCCTTTCTGTCCTCTGCAGTGTATGTGTGTTTAGTAGAAGATTTCTGAGCAGGTCCCCTGTTCCTTCATATTTTGAAAATTTTGCACGGATTTATTTTGAAGTTCAGTTGAATTGATCAGTATCACTTGTAGGATCTTTGAAAATATGCCCTTTAAAGAACAGAGACCTTAAAAGAAATTTAGTATTTCTTACTGCTTTTTGAAAATCTTTTCATCCTCTTGTTTATTTTTAGTATGCTAGCACTCTGTTTGACATGCTGTTTTCTATCATAATTAACTTGCACAGTAAAGTTTTGTATATGAAGGCTCTGCTTACACTAACTTGAAACCCACTTAGGCATCTCCTGTTCAATGCTTAATTTGCACTATACTGCAGCTGAGTCAATTAGTGTATCTTAACTTTCTGGCTTTGTCCTGAGGTTTAGATTGCTTGTTCTCACCAAGGAGCAATAATTTGCCTAGCATAGCAAGATGGGTAAATTAGGAAGAAAATTCTCATCTGGAGTATTATTCTTCTCAGCTTCTGGAGCAAAATGGAGGCTATGGAAACAATGCTCAGCCTCGGACATCTGTGACATCTGTTTCACAGAGCTCCAAGCCTGCAGGGCAGCTCAACAATTTGTACAATGCAGGTATGTTCTAAAAGAGATACCATTTTAGTATAAAGACAAATGCATACCTTCCATGGGGGGAAAAAAAGTCATTTGGGGATTTTACATATTTTGCACTGGTACTAGCTATTTGGTATTTATGTCATTGCTTCTAGCCTTATATTTTTTCTTTTTTGCAAGATTTGAATTTATGTTGTTATGCAAATATTAATTTCTCAAGTCCATTGCTGTGCAAGATAAAAATTATGTTTCCTATGGAAAATAATTTAAAGTGCACTATTGACCAGTAGAAGCAGAGGTGTTGACATAAGTGAACTAAAACTTGGTAAAGGTGTGGTTATGAGAAGCAATAATAGTTTAACGAATAAGAGCTGTAGAGGAAGTGTTCTGGTTATGACAGAGGGGTGAAAATAGCCTATTTTAAACCCTGAAACTTTTTGATTCAATTAGGCAACGATATTTGAAAGTGCGTTGTCTAAAGAGCAGCATTTAATAGGAGTTTGAATTTAAACTGTTAAAAATTCTCGGGTTTTGTATTTTAATTGAAACGTTGTTACCTTGTGGCAGAAGGTACTGAAATCAGGACATAGCCTGAGTTTGTGTTCGACACTGAATTTCTGAGGTAAATAGAGCAACAGTTGCCTTTGCTTTTCAAGAGGAACTATTTAACATCAGATGTGTTACAACATAAAAAAGATAGCAGCTATTTTTGGTGTGTTGTTATCACTTTGTGTTAAAACAGGCTTAATGTCTGGATAAATACAGATAGCTTAATAAAGAAATACAGAAGAAATTGTAGGGATTCTGGCTATGGACCATAGTAGTTCAGTAATGCATGGAATTTGCTGACCTCAAATGTGTTTATTTTAGACTGCAAAAAGCCTGTATGAGGAAGAAATAGTTCCGTAAGCACCTGGGTCCACCTCTCTCTCATTTTCTCTCCTGCTCAAAAAGACTTTGGACCCCCCACCGTGATATTTTGAAGTTCATCTGGCAGTGATAGTAGTCTAAAGCTATTTAGTTTTTCACTTCCAAAAGATCCATGTCTGACAACCTCAAAGGGAGAAGGCAGCATTCGGTTTAGTGACTGTCCAGTCAGCACTTTCAGGAACAGCTGTAGCTGGTACTGCCTTGAATCCAGCTAATTATGGGAGCATTGTCCAGACTGGACTTCAGGAGAGGGCTGCACTCTAGGGCGTCAGTGGTGAGGAGGAGTTGGGGTTCCATCTGGGAAAAACAGTTGTTGGATTAGCAGAACTAAATGGAATCAACCAAAACATCTCTCCAAAATGACACAATTCAAAGCTGACATACTTAATCTGTAGAAATAGATAATCCAGAGTACATTCAGTTGAAAATATAGTAAAGAAAATAAGCTTGATAGGCTTATTTGCATCTAGTTTTTTACTATTCTTTCTGCATCCATATTAACTATTATATCTTGTCTCCGTCTCTCTGGGTGCCTCCCAGTGAGCCCCGGCCAGCCCCGCTGAATATGGAGCTCTTTAATGTAGACGATACCAAGGGACTATTTCGTATTGTATTCAGTTTTCCTTCCAGCTTGACATTTCTTGCTTGATATTAATTATGATGAACTGTCAATGAGACAAGGGATATCAATTTTCCAGGGGAAATGTTAAAATTGGGTAGCATTTATTGCACTAATAATGTGTGTATATCAACGTCTGTGGAAGAATCCAACATCCTAGTGCAATTATAATCAAAAGTCTGTCTGGTCATCTGTTTTGTGTAAGAATGCCTACTGTTTGTTGTATACAATCATATTAATAGGTATATTGTGCTGTGATGTTGTGCTATCTGGGATGTTGTACTTGATACTTAAGTTTAACTATGCCAGCTGCTTCTGAAGCCCTAAAATGCATTAAAATGTGTCTACTGGAGATGATTAAGTAGATCTGCTTATGATAAACTGCACTTCAGAAACTGGTACTAAAGAAAGGCAATGTTTGCATTGACACTATGAAACATATGCCTTACTTCCAGAATTTTCTGCCTTGTTTTCTCATAAATACAGACAGCAAATTAAACAATGTGTCAGGTATATCACTGTTACTTCCTGATTGCTGGAAGTACTATTTTTTTGCATAGGTCAGAGTTAAGGAGAACTTTAGAACTGTGAGCCTTACAGTAAGGTGTAGCCTGTATGTGCATTCACTTCCTTCCAGCTTTATAGGCAACATACTTTAAGTCATATCCTGGAATGGGCTCCATAATAAAGTACAATTATTTTTATTCAACTACTCTAGGCCTGACCGTTGCGGAATGTGACCAGACTTATGGAGGGTTCTTTGATATTCTGAGGGGTGGAACAGAGCGATTTTTCACTAATATTAAGGATACCTCTTCTAAAGTTATCCAGTCTGTGGCCAAGTGAGTAAAATAAAAAATACAAAAAATAAAAAATTGTGCTGATAAGAGTTCTAAATGAAGGCACAGGAGTTTACTCCAGAAATGGTAAATTCAGCATATTTGTCCAAGTTTGAGCTGTAGTAGCTGATAGCTACCCTCTGAGATTTTATGTATGATATTAATACAAAAGTTACTTCAACAGTCATGTACTAGAATTGAGAATGTTGCAGTAAGAGCCTGTTTGTAAGTACTACTTGCCCTACTGTACTTTAAATACTGAAAACCTTTGAGACATGAGCAGGTGGGGGCTGAAGCAGCATGAAGAATTGAATTATTAGATAGGGCCTTCATGAATAAAAGAGGAATTAAAAAGATGGAGTAGTGAAATGTACAAATCAAGGGAATAGGTGTGAAGAGGGGAAAATACCTGCAGGAAAATAAGCTCTTCATTTTAGTTTCCAGGTGGAATCCTATGCCTTCAAGACAGTGGGAGAGGCACTCTTTGTCTCCTGTGCCCTGTATTGCATGTATGAATACTCTAATGTTTAGAGGTGTATGTTTTCAGATTTGTATTGTGTGATTATTTTTTTTCTGATCAGGTTGTCAGTCCCATTTCAAATATTTCTAATGCTTCCTTATGATCAATACTAATCAGTCTGTAAATTTATACATTTTTAGCTCATAATAAAATTCTATGCACTGTTAAAATAAGAGCAGGTAAGTCACTACTGAATATGTTGTCTGAATTAGAGCCTCCAAAAGAATACTAAACTCTGTTTCTCACTGTAGGCTTTGTGATCCTTTAGTTAGGATATTGCGTTACAGCTTGTGAAATGCGTTTCTTCATATGTAGGTTTTTTTCAGAATTCGGGTGTTACTTGTGCATAGTACTGCTCTAAAGTATTTATAATGATCAGGTAAGTTAGATTTGTAGATACTGCACCTCTGTGTCCACTTCAAGTGTGTTTTTAGCTGTTGGCTCTTACGCTTAGTCTGTTAAAACTTCTAAATATGGCTTAGAAGGGCCAGGTCTTCTATTTTTTAAAACTGGCAAAAGCTGCTTTGGTTTGTCCTTAAGTATTCTATAGAAGTAACTAGGATAGTGGCATTAAACTTTTATCCCTGGGAAAACCACATGAACACAGGGCAGGTTGTACAAGGGGAACAAACTGTTGCATGATGAAAAGCAGTTTTGACAAAGTTACAAGCCCTACTTTCCCATGGTTGTTTATTAGATCATACTATGTTTTTATTGTACTCTACATGCATCTGAAGTACTCCTACACTTCACTTGCTTATTCTCTTGACTCCACATGACTTTCTGGGTGCACCTTCATCACTTAGTTATGTTTGAAGGAGTTTTCTCTTCCTGCTCTTGCAAGTGGTTTCTTCCTTAAAGGCTACTGGAAGTTTAATCTTTTTTTAAATTTCATCCTGTGCAGTTTTTCCCTTTTCTAGCAATGGGTTAGAACTGTCTAAAATAGTCTTTTTAATATGGAATGGCTTGTGCTGTGCCTACGCCTTATTTTTATTTCTCTTACCTTACAGATGTGTGTAGCTTTTTGCTTTGTGTGATTTCCTTTGCTTCCATAGTAAGTGTAGTGGGCAAGGAATCAAACAGTAACTGTACATCCAACCACATCTGCAGAGCTCATCTAGCAACTTCTGAAGTACTGGACAGTGAGTACTTGCTGTCTGAAAAGATTCTGTTCAGTTCTCATGCTCTTCTCCACAACTGTTTGTTTAGATTATGGTGATTGCCCAAAATAAGTCTTACATCTGTCTTATTGTTGAAACTTAGTATGCCTCTTCTCAGTCTCTAGTTAGTGTTCTGTGGCTGAACACAACAGCTTAGTGCATGGCTTGAGGAACTTACTAAATATTAGCCAAAGGAAAACTCACTACTTTTACCTCATTTGTTTGAATTACAGTAAGTCACATGTGGACGTTTACTAGAACTGAGTATCTTGAAAACGTAATTGTTTGACCTGATACTAGTTTGTAGCTTTTAGTGTGAGGGTATGTTGTCATATCCAGATAAGATCAATTAGCCAGAGACCTGTTCAAACTACTGAGGAAGGTGGGTTGACAGAGGGCTGTCAGACAGGGTATGCTATGTCCCAAGATTGATCATGAGGAGATCAGTCCCTCTCAAATGTTTTGGACTCGGTTAGTTGAATAAGGGTTTTGTTTAAGTGGCTCTTGACCATCACCTTTGACACAATATGTGAAACTGTCAAATTTTTGTTTAAGTTCTGCGCTATCATAAGCAAATGTTGGTTTTGTGGAGCACCCTCTGTCTCCCTACAACTGGGTTTTTCTTTTCTTGCATTATCTGAGTGGATTTAGTCATTGGGCTGAGGAGTGGGGAAAAAAAGAGGAAATGCTCCAAGCATGTAGTTCTGCTAGTGAGAATCAGTTACTTTAATACTTACTTTTCCAGTGATTGAAAGACAAATTCTCTCCATTTGTAATTTACCAATATTATTTAGCAGCCCTCAGTTATTTATTACGGCAGGGGTTCTCGGGGTCTCTGCAAGCCCGGCTGCCATAGGTGTCCCAGATAGCAAAGTCCTGCTAAGCACAACCTGTCTGGGTCCCTCAGCAGGCTCCCAGCTGTAGGCAATCTTAGCAAGCAGCTCAGCTCTTATGTGAGCTCAGCTCTTTGGTGAATTCAGCTCTTTAGTGATTCCAGCTCTTAGCTTGCTAAGTGCCTCGGCAGATGCAGGAGAGAGATGAGAAGAGTTGTATGCGGTTCCACAGAGGTGTCTTTATTGGCAGCTTCTGCAGAAGGCCACAGTGACAGCTCTTCTGCAGAGCTGGGCAGAAAGAGGGGTTTTTATAGGGTGTAGGCGTTTTGGGAAACAGTCCAATAGTAAGGGTCGAGGCAAAAATGACCTATTGTCATATAGAGAGGTAGCAAGGGTCCGAAGGTGGAAGAGGGGTTTCTTTGGTCCAGTCATCATGACTAGGCATTTCTTATTTAAGCAACTGACTGCCAGGGAGGCCTTGCAGGCTTGTGGCTGCTGCACTGAGTTGTGTAGTTTTCCTTTGTATTGTGTTATATTTTGAATCCTTACTGTATTTAACAGTGAAATGGCAAAACATGAATAACATGACCAATACTTACTGTTCTATAGGGCCTAAGGTAGGCTTAAGTCCTTTAGTATTTTACCATTGCTAGCATTTAACATTCACTGTTCTGCTGAGAGTTCCACCACTGGGCTTTTGCATTCTTAAACTGTGTTTTAATCAAGCTGAATTGTTAATTCTTTGTTTGCATCTGCTATAGGGTGTGCCTGTTTCTGTCATATTCATTCTCTGCCTTCACAAGCTTGTGTTGCGGATATAGCTGATGCAATTGGTGATGTGAGCATACCTCTTCTGCTATTGCATCTTTGACTGCCTTTTCAAAACTCTTCAACCAACATAAGAAGCAGACATTCTGGAAAAATTAAAATGTCTCTTCTTTGTCATGCATTTTCTAACCCCACTTAAGTACTTTTGGAGTCTATAATTTCATTAGGTAGGCTTTTTCCTTCCTACTTATCGTTGCGTTTTTGAATTACAGGGTTACTTCCTTTGTCTGCAGACAGACTTCTATCTTGCTGAATCCAAACTACAGTGTAAGATTTAAGTATTTTGTTGTTGTGATAAAAAAAAAAAAAAAAAAAATCTTAATTTTTTCTTTTCTGTAGCTGCCTTTAGGTTAATTCTGATTTTGGTTTCTTGTTAGTCCTGATAAAAGATAAAATCTGAAAACGGAAGCACACATTTCAGGCTGCTTGGAACAGGAGAGTAAATGAGGACTATCTTCATTGTCCCCCAGACCACCTCAGTTGCAAGTGTCATAACCTCTGTTACAGGTTCAGGTCAGGCAGATGCAGTGTGAGAGGACAAAGAGCAATGGGGGTTCAACCCTCTTGTTACAAATTGCCTTAAAAGCAAGTACCAGGGTGGAGATGGAGAAGATATGCATTGCTTTATGAAGTGGCACATCTGCACGAACGGGAGCCTCGATTCAGCAGATGTGCCCATATGTGCCTGAAATCTCAGCCTGCAGCTGTGCAGCCACAGCATTTCTGTTACGCCCAGAGAACTTTTTTTTTCCCATTTGTGGGGCTTCTGTGCTCTTTTTTGGGACACCAGTTTTTATGCTTAGTGAGGCCTGCATCCATACAGGTTACAAATGCCCTGTCAAAAAACATAGCTAAATGTTTTAAGGATTGGATCTTCACTGGTAATGAAAGCAGCAGGCAAAACTTGTGATCAGTCTTCCTTTGCTTTGTCAGAACAATCTCTTTTGCAGAAAAGATTATAATGTAGTAATCTAGGAACAATTAACTGCCTTTTATGCTTGCTTTCTTGGCTTTTAAGGTAATTTTGTTTCTTGTTTAATATTTTATTTCATGGATCTTTGCATTGCACTAGGTAGTTGCATGATTAATTCAGTTTCCTGAAGCAAAACCAAATGGGAACAGATTGATGTGACTTTTAGTGCTGTTTTTCTTCCTGGATTTTAAAAAATAAACTGAAAAAAAAGATGAATGGATTTTTTTTAATCTTGTAAATGCAGAGATGTCTGTAGGAAGATTGCTTAGTGTTAGGACAGTATTTAATTTAATGGTTTATATGCTGACATTGTAGCTGTGCTGGTTAGTCTGTCATTCTTTGTTCTTTATCATCTTCAGTTGTTTGTAAACAGATGGTACTGTTGTAGAATTTTGTTCTGTATGTTATCTGGTTTATTTTGTAGTTTAGTTGCTAATTTTAGTTCCATTGTTTTTAGTTTGCAGGAGTAGTCTTTTGTTTAATATTACTTATGGTCTTTAGGTGCATCTAGTCTCTGGCAAGAATAATAATAATGCCAACCATTTACACAGTGAGAAGTTTTTAACATGTAGTTAGAACTTCTTATTTTTGCTTTGATGTTTATTCTTCAAAATCAGAATTCATGTCTTACTTGCTTCATTTCATAGAATCAAACAGTAGTTTTGATTGGAAGCAGGATCTGATTCTAACCCCTGAGCAATGGGAAGGGACACCTTCAACTAGACCAGACTAATATCCATCTGCTCTCTTTCAGTTTAAAGCCATTCCTTCATATTCTGTCATTACATGCCCTTGCAAAAAGTCCCTCTCCAGCTTTCTTGTAGGCTCCCATTAGATATTGTAAGGAAATAGCCCCCTGCCTCCATACAGAGACTAGACTAGGCTAGTCCTGTCTCACAGTGAAGTAGTCCCGGTTTTGAATAAGTCTGCATGATCAGAAAAGTGACTAAATGTTGGTGTCATATCATACTTTTTTTTTTTTTTTTTTTTTTTAAGCTTAATTAGACCCTTAAAAACACAAGAGTTTCCCATGTTGGACCACAGGCTGAGAACACTCTATGTATGTTTCTGTTGGCATGCTTTTCTTCTGTTACAACCTGCTAGCAAAACTGCTATCTGAATGAAATTTCTGCTGTTAAGGATATGAAAGGAAAGGCTCTATTTGTGATTTTTAGGTAGAGAGTTTTATCTTGAAATGCACAGGAATGCTTAAACAATGTGGCTAATAAATGTTTTTTTCACCTTCTTACTGTTCAAAGAAATCTCAGTTACGATTCTGACATACAACAATCTGCTGAAAACAGAGTACCTTGTCTTCAGGTCTTACTACTGAAATAGCTGTGAAATTTTCAGAATAAAGTTCAATGAATTCAAGGATATGGTGGTGTTCTGGAGACTTGTGTTGATTTTACAGTTAAGAAGCTTCATTTTAATCAAAACTGCACAAAAATTCTGAAGCTTTTTCAATGTAATAGTCACATACTTGGAATACTCCTGCTAAATATAAAGCTTAAGTTGGCTATGCTGTACTCTGTTGTTGACATACTATGTGTGTATGGTGAGATCCATGCTCCTAATGTTGCTTTTTAATTTAGACAAATGTAAAAAGCAAAGCTTGGTTGAGTGGTGGTGGTAGTAAGAAATCAGTTCTGAAAGTCTTCTCGAGGGAATGGGTGTGTGTACTGTTGGTTTTTTGCTCTTAATAGTTCTGTGCCAATGTTGCAAGTCGCTGCTTAACCTCGGTGTTACAGTGTTCAAGGGATAATGGTTCTGTGTTCTGCAGCTGTGGTATTAGTTGGTCCTTTACCTTGATACCAAAAAAATTTGATATTAGAATGATTACATGTTTCTTGCTTGAAACAGCTGGATGTAATCAACAAATAGCATTTGACACTTGTTATCTCTGTAAAGGGCTACAGCCATCACAAATTCTAGTAAGCAATTGCTTTTATCTCGGATTGTAAATTTCTGCCTTAATGAGTTTGGCTGCAGCAAGATTAACACCTGAGCTTATGTGATGAAGTATATCCTTCCAAAGGTGCAAACAATTTTGAAATTGTTTACCTCCTTATGCAAGGTATCTCAAGGCTGAGGGTTTTGTTGTTTTCTTTTTTCTTTTTTTTTTTTTTTTTAATGCTATGTCTAGTGAGACTCGAAGTCCCTTGTGGTTTTAGTTTGAGAGTGTGAGTCCTTGTCATTGCTAAGACACTGATGATGTCATTCTGCATAAATACTGTTAAATGGCATTGCATTCAGAAGATTTTTCTTCCCTAATCTAGAATCCTCCTCACTATCCTTGAATATGAAATATACATTTATATATACAATATATATTTTTAATGAATCCCTCTTACCTTCATCATTACTAGCAAGCAGTAAGGAATCAAAACTTAGTGTTCTTTCTTGGTGTTTCAAAATTTGAGTGTAGTATCCTAGGTCTGCTCTTCTAAGCAATGTCCTGAAATTCTGTTGTGATACAGAAGTTTTGTTAGTGCTTCTGAATTAATGAAATATACATCATAGTGTTTTAATGACATTTTGATATTTTGGAGTTAATAGGCTACTGAGATATTTAAGTTAGTGTAAGTCAAATTCACCCATTAGTAGAAATCAAATTCTGTTGGTGAGTTTTGTTCTTATTTTGCCAATCCAGGAGTGAAGACCTGTGTGGTTATACTCAAGGTTGTTGGCCTCCACTGGCTCTCTTCAGTTTTTTTCCCTTGCTTTTTCATTCTGCTACATAGCAGATACCATCGAAACAAAAAAGTAATAGTGGTCTTAAATTAGTTAATTTTTTTTTTTTTTGGTTGACATAATGTGGATGATTAGGTAAAGGTGTGGGAAATTGTAAGTAATCTAAGTATCACTGGGAGATTTTTTGAAAAAGCTGCACTTTTGAACTGTGCACAGTTGTATGAGAGAGAGATGAGTAATGACTAATGCCTTGCTCACTTATGGGAGTTCTGGAAGTGAATTTTTGTAAGAATTATTTAAATGAGGAAGGTGATTGTGGTACTCTCTGTGCTGAGTGCAGGTAGCTCGGGGTACAGCTGCAGTGGGAGCTGCAGGTTGAGCTCTGGCTGGGAGCCTGAGGCAAGAGGTCAGGAATTGCCAACGTTTGGCACAGCAAAGGGCACAGGGGCTGTGACCCAGGCAGGTGACCAGACACTGAGGCGCTGCAGGAGCCAAGGACACAGCAGGAAGACCCCACACTTTGTGAGGGTGTAAAAGCCCACTGTTTCCCTTCTTGGGAGTCCCTTCTGGGAGGCAGCAGTTCCAGCTGTTACTCTGTTGCTGCAGGAGGATTAAATGTCTTTGAGCAACCATAGATCTGGGACTCTGCTATGGGAAGCCTGAGGTGGGACTGGTAAGGAAACCTGGTCTGACTGAGTGGTGTAGGGAGTCAAGTGGGGCACCCATTGGCTCTCCAGCTGCAAAGGGGCTTCAGTCCTGGCAGTGTCAGATCTGGTGGTGGTTCAGGTGTGCTGCCAGAGTCCTTCCTGGATGGCTAGACAGGAAAATGTTCTTAACGCTGTCTCTATGGAATTTGGGTATTGGGCAGCATGGCCATCTGTGATAGATAGTAACATGCCAGAGTTATGTAATTTAAACTTTGATGTTCAACTTTCTTTTAAGCATTGAGATATTTCATTAAAGATATTAATGTATCATCGTTAGATTTTCAAGCTGACACCCTTTAGTGCATTTTTATCAGTAAGAACAGGGGCTGGAGGAGTGAGTTAAAGATTAAAGGTATCTGTACAAAATCCATGGATGGTTTTGGTGCAACTAATATAAATGAGTAACTGCTTAAACACAGTAGACATGCTTAATGCTTAAACATTTTCTGTTCTGAAAGCTCTGTTCTGAAATTCTAGAAATGTGAATGTAACAAATCTCAGATAGAAATAATGAAACAGTATTCCTGATGCTGGGTGCCACTTGAGAGATCTGGCTTACACTTTGAATGGTTATATGTCCCAGTATTACAACCAATGTCTTCTCTTTCAGTTATGCAAAAGGAGACTTGGATATATCATACATCACTTCCAGGATTGCTGGTATGATATCTATATTTTTGTTAAACATGATTTCTCCTTGCTCTTAATACATGAAAAAATTCACTTGCTGTTTGTTCTGTCTTCAGTGATGTCCTTTCCAGCTGAAGGTGTAGAATCTGCCATCAAAAATAACATAGAAGATGTGCGGTTGTGTCTGGACTCTAAACATCCTGGCCATTATGCTGTGTACAATCTCTCTCCAAGAACATACAGGCCTTCAAGATTCCATAACAGGGTGTGTATAGTTTTTGTGTATTTTTCTGAAAGGCCTTGAAACATAATGTTTTCATTATACCTTCAGCTTTTTATTGTAAAATAGGTTAAAGTAGGTTCATCAAAAAGATGGCAAAAGAGTAAGTATAAACACAAGGTCAAAGAGTTACCTATTGTTTCCTTGTCCTTCTTTTAAAACCAAACTTAACTGGTAGCGGACCAATCTTTAATCTTAAAAAAATCTTACTAATGTTAAACAGACTGAAGTCTGGTTTTTTTTTCTAGGATAGTAATATCTTTGAAAACATGCTCATGTACCTTATATGTTTCAAATTTAAGTGGAGAATGCTTCAAGTAATGAAAGTTACTAAAATGTCAGTCTCTCCTATATTCTACCATTTTCCTGTGTCAAGGACATGGTGACTGATTTGCATAACCTGTTCACTGGAATTTCTCCTTGTCCCACTGCATACCATTTGACTACCATATGACTCAGCCATAGCTGTCTGATTGTTCTCACCATCTTCAGTATTGTTGTGGCTTACATGAGCCTCCATTATCCTTCCTGGCAATTTCTCTGATACTAATGTGAAGGCATTTGCCTAATTCAGCAACAAGGCATTAAGAACATCTTGTTAGGTACCAAGATACTGGACTTCAGTGTTTGCTCCTAAGTAAAACTCATCTGTCCTTGGTCAACAGTTGGGACTGTTTCTGTGTTGTGAGTTGTCCAGCACCTTAACAGTCTGTAGTGATCATGCCCCTTCCACACAATACTATCTGCCAAGAAGAGAGTCTAGAACCATTATTGGTTACAGAATAATAAAGCCTTTTGGGCCTTATTATACAGAGACATCCTTAGCATTATTTCAGTTACCAGAGTTGACTTAAAATGTTGGGGTGAGATATATTTAATGTATTTTTTCTAATGCTATCACTTCCTTTTGTTTCCTTGTAAACAAGATAAAGTATTGTCACACCTGAAAGAAACCTGAATTTACTGAAACTGAAAAACACCTGAAATTACTGTCTCTTTGGATGAATGCAATCAGCTTTTTTATGTGTTTCTAGTTCAATATGAGGTTCAGGCAGAGGCTATTCAAGATGGAAGGCAAAAAAGCTTGATTACACAGGAAATCTACTGCATGATTATTTGTAGCAGGTACCTCAAAGCAAAATGTTCAGCAATTCTTTTTAGCACTAGATTGCTGTGGTGGACTGATTTATTCCACATCCTGCAAAGTGATCAGTTTCTGTTTCTGGAATGATAAATTCTGTGACTGGGAATTTTCTTACTAGTGAATTTTTTTGGTTGTGCAAGTCTGAGGTGTCTATACACCTGATATTTCTGATGTGTTGGTACTAAGAATAGTAATATGATCTTGGTTTTGTTAAGGAGTCATAGTAGGTCATAGTTAGTTGAAACATTACAGGTTCATGACTGCTTTATTGTCTAAATAAAGGAAGGCAGTTATTTTACTTGGAAACAAACTCTAATTGTATTTGGAAGTCTTACCTGCCTATTGAAATTGAGATGTTTAGCAATATTGACTAACTTTATTGTTCAGTGCTGGATGAGAGCAGCCATGTAGGAATCTAAAGAAGCTTAGGTTGACTTTATTGTTGGCAAGAGATGATTATGGCAAACCTTTAAACACAATCAGAGAACAGCTTCTGAAATTCTTTATTATGACACTTTGCTAAGAAGGTATTTATGAAATAGCTTCATATGAAGCCAACATATGATTGGTTTCTTGCTGTTTGCTGTCTGTATGGATCTTCTACAAATTTCTTTAATCTTGGTTAAAATTAATGGTAGTTTTGAAATTAGCTTCTCTGCTAGTTTTGAGTTCTTTTTTGAATAGGTTGCTCTGAGAGTTTGGGCATAATCCATAATTCTGCTAATTGTCAGGACACTTGGAGCTGAAAACACAGATAAAGAAACAGAAAGTAATGTTGTTTTTGTTACGTCTTGTAGGAAACCTAGTGTTTCAGTGGAAAGTAAATGGTAAATTAAAAGGAAAAAAGTCAGTACTTTTTGCTTTTTTGAATACACTTTTGTTAGGCTGTGTTCTGGTCTGAAGCTGCCACTCTTCAATATGATTCTTTTGTGGTGTTGTGATTTAACTTCAGCCAGCAACCAAGCTGTTTGCTTATTCCTCCCTGGTAGAGATGGATAGAGAATCACAAGGTGAAAGTGAGAACTCGTGGGTTGAAATAAAAGCAGGTAAAGCAAAAATCACAGGTACAAGCAAAGCAAAACAAGGAATTCATCCACCTTTTCCCATGGGCAGGCAGGTGTACAGGAATGCAGGGCTCCATCGTGCGTTGTGATTCCTTCAGAATACAAACGTAATTACTCTGAATGTTTCCCCTTCCATTCTTTTTCCCAAAGATTTATGGGTAGAGCATGATGTCCTATGTTATGGAATATTCCTTTGGTTAGCTGGGGTCACTTGTCCTGGCTGTGTCCCCTCCCAGCTTCTTGTGCACCCCAAGCCGGCTTGCTGGTGAGGCGATGTGAGAGGCAGAAAAGACCTTAACTCTGACTAAGCCGTGTTTATCAATAAAAAAAAATAAATCCTTGTGTTAACAATACAGTTAGTAGGTTCCCTCACAAATACAAAACACGGCCTCATGTATTTACTATGGAGAAAATTACTCCAGCTGAAACCAACACACGCTACTGTTGTCATATTTGAGATACACTGAAGCCCACATTGAATCCTGTGGTGAACAGGCATATAAAGGACTTTTTGCCTTAGCTTTTCTTTGTTTTCTAGAGACTTTACATAAGATTGCACTAACAAAGGAATGTGGAATTTAAATCTCTTGCAAAGTGATTGTTTCTGAAATGGCCTTAATTTTAAATTAAAATACTAGAGTACAATGAAAAGTTGTAGGAGACTTTGACTGTTTATTTCAGTCTATTTTCCTGTGCTTGGCACAAATACAGTTTTTTGTGATAATCAGTTGAGGTAATTTATCTCAGAGTAACCCTTGAACTCTTTTTCTAGATAGGAAGACATGTTGCTGATAGGAAAACTTGGTCTTCAATATCTGGTAATTGCAGCTGAGAATAAAATACAAAAAGCTTAATTTGTAACTTGCTTCCTGAATCCTTAATGTATCTATTCTTTAAGTGTTTTAAGTCCCCCAAGAATCAAGTTTCATATCCTATGTCCTTACTAGACAATTGATTTTAAGGATATAGATTCCTAGCAGTGAAGCTGATTTTTTGTTAGTGCTTTGAAGCAGGAATTGTAAATGGAATATTACTGAATCATTCAATCTCTGAACAAAGGACAAATATTAGAAGAAGCCTAATTTTTCTGTTGTTGGGGTTTTCTATTTTTTTTTTTTCTTAAGTATATGTGCACAAATCATGTTGAAAGCTGTTTTATTTTACTCGTTGCTCTAAGAATATTTCAGGTAGTAATCTGAGTTCTTGATACTTCTTGTGCAGCAGATTTGTGGACAGAACTGTAGTTTTATTGCACTTCATCCTAAAAAGTGGTGTTTACACTGTGCAACACTGCTTTTCTTGAGTGTCTTTCTTAATTTCAACATGAACATGGCATTCAAGTGTAAAATTGCCTTGTAGACATTTGCATAACCTAAGTTGTGTATATGTGACAATATTATACTGTTTCTCAAGTCTCTTGTCTCTCTCATTGCAGGTTTCTGAATGTGGCTGGCCAGCAAGACGAGCACCAAATCTTCAGAATCTCTATAGCATATGCAAGAATATGCATTTATGGCTGAAACAAGACCAGAAAAATGTTTGCATTGTGCATTGCCTTGTAAGAAATTGATTTAAGTCTGAAGCACTTTATTCAATAGAGCTTTAAATTGTGAAGAAGGGTGCTGGTATCCATTCAGTTTGTGATTGTTACTGGCTTTCTTTACTGGATGCCACAGGGTCAATTCCTTCCTGCTGTGTTCGTAGGGAAGTCACTTGCATCAATTTTCTCCTTAGGGAAATTGGTATGGTAATGTAGCCATTGCTTGCATTTAGAGTGGAAGGCAGCATACAGGCAGTATTAAGATAAAGTATCCTTTGGAAGAAAAAAAATCTGCTCTCCTCTTTCAGTATTTGCTCCATTTTTTGTTTTCTGTGTGGTAGATGGGTGTACACTGCATGTCCCTTTACTGTCCATTTAGAATATAATCTGTAGCCACAGAATTTCAGAAACTGACTGTAAGACTTCTGGTTTACCTGCTTTTGCTGGCAGCAGATTGCTCTGTAGATTTCACTGTTCTTCAAAGTATTATTAACTTCGATATAACCAAAAAAGCAATGAAACTGTCTATAGAGACACATCATGTCAAACATGGTGTAGGGAGAGGAATGAATTTAAGGAATACTTTGCTCAGAAGTTGAAAATTAGGTCACTCTTACATTTGTTTAAGAATATTGCATGTGAATTTTTGTCATTTTTATTTTGCTGCAGAGTAAAAAGCAAAACGTGACTAGTTGACAATACTTGCAATACTGCTGGAAAACTTTCAAAACCTATCTGGTGATGTGGCATAGCCATCAATAGGGAATATCACTATCAGAGTCAAAACCAGGATTTGTTAATCTGACAAATCATATTTGTGAGTTATGTAGTGTTTTGCAAGTAAAAAGCCAGTTCATGTCAGCTCCTGAAAGGCAGTAGAATTTTCAGTGCTGCTGTGAGGTTAGGCATTTAATTCTATATTAATGCGATACTTCTACTACCTCAGTGTCACGTGATTGCTGGTCAAGTAGGTGAGAAGCAGATGTGATGAGTTAACACCAGCTTTTGTAACATCTTTCCCTTGAAGTCTTTTGTTCAAGGTACTTAACTCATTTCTTTTCCTCACTTGTGAGGCAAACTTTTGTATATACCTGGCTTTGTGCCAGATGTGATGTAAAGTGTATATCAGAAATTTAAGAAATGAATGATAAATATTCCATTCCATGTTGCTAGCCAACAAACCTGGAGAAGTCCTGTTCTGTCCACCATTATCTCTGTCAAATCTTCTGCCTTTTATTATACAGGGGTGTATCTGGGATATGTGTGTAGCAGGGATTCCTGCAGAAAGAAGCTCAGTTTTAATCTCTTTCTCTTTGTTTCTTAGCAGGCTCTTAAAAGTTTTAGACAGAAGTCTAAACAGTTTAGTGTGGTTTAGTTCTTCTGAGTCTTTGTACTTTTCTTGCAGCAGAAGTCCATGGCTGTCAGTCAAAAATAGCAGTGTTCTGGGATTTCAGATAGCAACCAGGAAACAAAGCTCAAAAAATGGGTAGTAGTGACAGTAAGGTAAAGAACATAAATTGAAAATTTCAACTGGTGTTAAGCTAAAGTAGTTATTCACATTTGAATGAGAAAGTAATATGTAATACGTTTTGTATGGTGTAGAAGTTAAATGAAAACCTTTCACACTCAACTGCAAACTTCAAATCAAATAATGGCACTAGACTTTGGACATCATGACATTAAATAATGATAGGATATAGGATACATAACGGGATGTTCTTCAGTGACTTGGATAATGCTTTTTCCACTAGATTTACTAACAAATCTACTTTTTTTTTTTCTTCTTTTTTTCTTTTTTTTTTTTTTTTTTTTTGGAAGAGCAGCATCTGCTGTTGTAGTTTGTTCCTTTCTGTGTTTTTGTCGTCTCTTCACTACTGCTGAAGCTGCTGTTTATATGTTCAGTATGAAACGCTGTCCACCTGGCATTTGGCCTTCTCATAAAAGGTACTGTAAGGTACTGTTGAAGCAAGTAGCTATTCAATTCTGAATATGGTAGAGGATGTCTTTAGAAAGATAAATTATTTCAATAATGTCTGTGTTCAAACATCTGTTTTTCCAAGTACTTTGCTGTATCATGAATTAAAGGTAGTTCTGAATTTTCTGACCCTGTAAGTACCCATCAGAAATGGATCAATTATTCCCTGTGGTGAAGAAGTGTTAGGAGTGAACACAAGGCTATGCAGAGCTTTTGAATGCTTTCTTAATTATGAAATTCTCTTCCACATGTGTAAGACTTATTTCATGTTTCCTAGTTTATTTCAATAGGTTTTATTATGTCAGAACACGGTAAGCTCTGAGGGAATACCAGAAATTATTTTTCTCAATTGGGTAAAAATGCCTAGTGGGCTTTTTTTTTTGGAATGCATGTAGAGGTGACTTGCATATACTTTGAGAAATGTTTTAAACTGTTTGTTTGACTTAATTTGATAGATCTTATAACTGTAAAGTATGAATAACAAGTGACACTGGTAGCAAGGGTGTTTCCTAAAAAAAGGGATTAGATTTTGAAGGATGGGAAATCAAGTATTAGTTCGGTATAAATGGCAAATTATGTTTTTGTATACATTTACTTCATGTATACTTAAGGGGTTCTCCACAAAATAATATATAATAATCGGGACAAATTTAAAGCCTTTAGGAAGATTTGAGTGATCTATTATATATAAGATACAAAATAAATAGTTTTCCTAGGTTAGTGCTTTAAGACTTTTTGAAATAGTAACTAGTTTATTTTACAAGTCATTATATGTAAAGCTACAGACCCTTTTGTGTCATTCTATCAGATTTGAAAATCTGTTTGCTGGAGGTGGTGGTAAATATTCCCACTGTTTCAGTGTTAGCAGTGCTTAGTGACTGGGTGAGATGTAACTTGCTTATGTGTTCCATCCGTTTCTTAGAATTTTGTGCTCTGACTAAATGAGTACCATCTGGTTTTGGCAGATACATTGAGTACATGTGTGACATGATGGCTGAAGAACCCATTATTCCTCACAGCAAGCCCATCCTGGTCAGATCAATTGTCATGACTCCTGTTCCGCTTTTCAGTAAGCAGCGTAATGGCTGCAGGCCTTTTTGTGAGGTTTATGTGGGAGATGAGAGAGTAACCACTACCTCCCAGGAATATGACAAAATGAAGTAAGTACAGATTCTGACTTGCTCGGGAATAGCAAGTTACATTTTTCTAGATTCTAGCATTTACATGTTTCTAGATTCCTCTGTCCCCTTTTAGCTGGTCTCAAAAGGTGAATCGTGAATGTGGTTGTTAGAGGAGCTGGTCTTGCAGAACAGTGGGTGTGATGGTGGGGTGGCACACTGGACCATGTGAGGCAGTGAGCAAGACCCTCTTCTCGCTCCATGTGAAGTAAGACTGGGAACATAGATCCCTGATGTACTTGTGCTGAGCATAACATCATGTGTCAGTCATGGAAACTGTAAGGATCCCCCAGGCATGGCAGCTGCAGGGTGACTGCTTATTAGTCCCTGTACAACTCTGGTGTCTGCACAATTGCAAATGGTACTAACACTGCTGGATGTGGGTAATCATAGAAATGAAAGAATACTGAAGTCCTTGTAGCTTTTCAGCTACTGAAGGCCTTGGAGAAAGCAGGCTAAATCTAAAGTAATACACTATTTAATCACTTTTTAAACCAAATTGACTATGGTTATGTTTTTGGTTTTTTTTTTATCCTTTAGGGAGTTTAAAATTGAAGATGGGAAGGCAGTAATCCCACTGGGTATAACAGTCCAAGGAGATGTTCTCATTGTGATCTATCATGCCAGGTCAACTCTAGGAGGACGACTACAAGCCAAGGTAATGATAAATTTAAGAGCCTGAATGGAAGATTTGCTTTGTTTTTGGTTGCAGTTTTGTAACCTACTTGTTATCTACTGAATACTTTGCTTTATTTACTGTTCTTTGTTCAGAGAAATGTTTGTGGTTTTCATTCACTTGTGAATTCAACCTTTTCAAGCCTTCTGAGTATGTCCACTCCTAATGCTGTACATGTTGATGCTTTTGTAAGTATTTCTGGAAAGTACTTCAGTACTGATAATTGTTATATTTGTAAGGAAAGTCCCCAGCCAGTTTTTTTTGAGGCAGCAATTATTATCTGTTAAGTTGCACAGCAAGCCAGAACTTTTTAATTCTATGCACACAAACTGCAAACAAAGGAAAAATACCACTCAGCAGAAAAGTGGGATTCCAGAGACTGCCTGTACAAAACAGGCTAGAAAAATCCATGTGGTTTTATAGCCTATTTCTAAAGTCAGGTTCAGTTTTTGTAGCTAATTTTCTTACTTGTCTTTGTTCTACTAGGGAGAATGCATATTTCTGTTTTAGTTCAACTATGGATGCAAATGTATTGCAAGATCACAAAAAACTTGTTAATGAAGCCTGTCTTCATATTTTTTAAAAGGCATGTTCTTTTTTCTCTAGATAAGTTACCCAATTAAACTTGGAAATCCATGTAAAAGATAAGGACAGATAGCGCAAAGTTTAGAGCTTGGAGGTTTGTGGAAATTGATAAGACAGCTTTTCAGACAGTTTTGATACATATGGGACATACATGTGTATTCATACATACTGTTTCCTGAAATTGTTTTCCCCCTGTTTTTTTTTTCTGCTTTGTGAGTAGGAAGGTATCAAATCTTGTCATGCTCAACAAGACCTTCCAGAATACCTTAAAACTAAAAACTCAGTGAAATGATTCCTTAGTGTGCAAACATAACTACTGTATTGTTCAAGGTCGTCAGGAGAAAGGCATAAAACTGACAAAATTTAGCCAAGGTTAGGTTATACTCCTTGTTTTATTCATGGTAGAGTTTCTTTTATGTGGTTTCTTTGGCGTTTATTCATTGATAGAAAAGACTAGAATTTTCTCAGCTGTCAGCTATAGCACATGATGCATCAACAGTGTGTGTGATGATCTGGATTTGGAGGTTTGATGGAACAGTATTCAATGTGTCCTTAGTTTTATGTGCTGTAAATTGCCCCCTAAAGTACTCTACAGATCTCTTACAGAGATTAACCACCACATTTCAAAATTTCTCCTGTGTTTAGAGCTGGTCATTATGAATGTCATCTTCTTTCTCACAGCTAATTAGAGAGTTCAGTTTATCTTTTAGGAAAGTGATGGTAGGGATGGAAGAATCAGGAAAACTTGCTCCAGTATGTCCATGTCTCTCTTGTACTAAGGAGCCTGGCACTGGGCATTGCAATTACAGATGAGGCTTCACTGGTGCTGAATAGAGGGGAAGGATCAACCCTGCCTTAATCTGTGGCAATGCTTTTTGTATTATTTGGTTTCTGGCTATCATGTTCGGTAAATACTTATTTACAAGGAAAGCTTTCATAATTCAGGTTTGTTATATTTTCTGGACTACTACTGCATGACTTATTTGTAAAGACTGGCAAGAGTATATCACAGGTGTTGTGACTAATGCCAGGAAACAAATACAGGCTACATTGATCAGTGAGCTGTAATTTGGATTTGTGCAAGATCTGAAGCTACCTGAATATTCTATAGTAGCATTTTCTGGACACTTGTATTCCCATCAGGCATGGGAAAGTGGTTTTTCTGTGAACAGTTGAGAGATCAAAATGAGTCAGTTCACAAAAGCCCTGTCTGGAATTTTGTCTGGAATGAATGGCTGACTTGAAGTTGCACCAAAAAAAGACTCCTTGCATGCCTTCTGAAGTGTCCTTTTAAATGTGGTACATTTAAAACTGTTTTAAATCTGTTCCTTTGTATGTGATGTACATATATTTCTTGTTTGGTGTATTGCACAATGGATTTTTCTGAGCATATGCTATTCAGAAAAGGAACAAGGGTCATACAGTTTTAGCCTCCAGAACAGGATCTGGAAATACTTTAGACTTTGATAGTCAGTTTTGAAGTTAGTGATGAGACATACTTGAAGGTCTTTTGGTTTGTTAGTGCTAGTAATAGATCGGTTTATGTTCTATCCCAACTGCATTTAAATCTTTCAAGATAAAGTATACTTCTAATTAAATGGAAATTTTTGTAGCAAAGCAAGTACTTCAAAATATTTTAATACTGATAATACTTTGCATTATGTTAAAGGCAGAACACTGTTCATGTGGATTTATAGTTTCCTGTTTCTTGTTTTCAACAGATGGCTTCAATGAAGATGTTTCAGATTCAGTTCCATACAGGCTTTGTGCCCCGAAATGCCACTACAGTGAAATTTGCCAAGTATGTTGACACCTTTTTGTGGGAGACTGGAAGAAGTTGTCTTTGAAACTGCTTAACCTGCCAAACATCAACATATACTTGGGGAGTGCAGGAAGTAGATTACTTCGGTTGCAAAAAGAGTCTTTTGTTTACTCACCTTAAGGAAATGAAATGTTTTGTTCATGATACGAACAATGTACAAAAATACCACCTGTTTAAAATGGGAAAAGTAAACAAATACAGCATTTTTAATGCCTTATACTAATTGCTTTAGAGTTTTGTTTTGGACTGCAGTAGATTTAATCCAGTTAGCCATCAGTATCAAGAAACTTCTTGTCTGTCTCTTTACAGATACGATCTGGATGCCTGTGACATACAAGAGAAATACCCTGATTTATTTCAAGTCAATCTGGAAGTAGAGGTGGAGCCCAGAGATAGGCCCAGCTGTGAACAGCCACCTTGGGATAACATGAATATAAAGGGACTGAATCCCAAGATACTCTTCTCCACCCGAGAGGAACAGCAAGAGATTTTATCAAAATTTGGTAATGAATCCATTGAAAAACTAGAGAATATGAGAAGGTTTTCAATGTACTTAGTGTTTGAGGCTTTTGTTTAATATTTGATGTGCCATTAATTGAAAAAAATCCGAAAGGGTTTTTTTTTATATATCAGTTAAAAATATGCATTGTGTGGAGGAGCTTAAGTTATCCTCCTGTAATGAGGATTATAATTATACTTGTCTTACTTCTACTGTGCTTACATGTGCTTGGTTTCATAGCTTACAAAAATATGAATAGGCTATTTGCAGGGAGGGACTTCTAGCAAATAGAATTGTAACAGTCAGTGTTGTAGGCACAATGTCTTGAATGGGATTTATTTGGCTAAACTGGCACCAGTATAATTTCACTTAAAATTATGTGAGCATTCCTCACAAATGGTTTTAGGTAAGAATGTTCTTATCAACATTCTTACGCATAGCCATGTAATATTGTAATTAATTTCCTGCACTTTCCCTAATATGTTCCAGCAGACACTATTTTATTATCTGTATTTATCTTTATCTGTAGATGCCTGCATTAGTTGCAGTTAATGCTGTTCAGTATCTTTCTTCTCCTGGTATCAGTGATTAGCTTTGACATTTTCATTCAGGTTCTTAAGCCTCCTCTGTGTTTTGAGGATAAAGAAGCATGATGAAAATTACTATGTTGATTTGAGTGATACATGAGATCTCACCCTGTGCTGTTAATGTGGTACATCTCAAGTGCATTTCTTTTCATACAAGATAGCTGCTGCTGGCCTTTTTTTTCTTTTAAGCAGATATGTGTTGCTTGTATTATAATTTAGGCCATTTTCTATTTAATTTAGGTTAATCCTGCCGTGAACACAACTATCAGCTCTCTAAAGCTAAGGTGTTTAGCTTTACATCATCATTGTTGATGGGGCTCTGTAAAAGTTAGTCTTGTTTTCTTAAGTCACTTCCATTTTCTGATTGGTACAGGAAATGTAAGGATTTCAAATTACACTGAAAGTATTTCTTAAGATTGGTGGGAAAGGAATAGGACAAAAATAAGTAATGTGAACTGCTTTAAAAAAAACAAACTTGCAATTAAAATTGAATTTACTATTTCATTAGTTATGATATTTTATTTTTTCTGAGACAAACTATGTTTTCAGCATCTCTAAGCTATAGCTGAGAATGTGGAAGGAGAGTGAAAAAGTGCTCTATCAATTGTGTATTTAAATTTGGACAAATAGGTTTCTCCTAGCCATTCATCCATCCATCCATCCATCCATCCATCCATCCATCCATCCATCCATCCATCCATCCATTTTTTTCAAACAGTAGATGAATATTGACTAATTTAGGACGTCTTCTTCATTTGATTTCAGGAAACTTAGGTTTTGAGAGGTGATACAGCAGTAGGTAACAGTGCAACTGAATCTTACACAAGAATCACTTAATACCTGATTTCAGTAAAATAAGAAATATAAGAAGCAGTTAATAGCATCATACAGTGTAACACCCCCTTTTTAACCACTCCATGTTGTTCACTGGCTTTGCATATTCTGGGTTTTTCTACAGCTGCATTTGCGTTTTTCTGTCTGTTATTGCAGATACTGTTCATAGCTCTTTTGTGTTTTAGGGGATGGTTGGTACAAGTGAGTGTTAATTACCTTTTCCTACAAATGTAAATGGAATGCTTGAGTTTTACTCTATGATTCTGATTTAATGTCCTAGTTCAAAACTGGGTTTTACCAGTTTTTGCGGTTGAAAAGAAGTTAATACTAATTTCAAAAATGGTGGGGGCAGGAATTTGCATTTGCAGAGCAATAGATTGGTGATAATTGCCTTCCTACAGCAGTCAGCATGAAAGACAAATATCAGCTGCTGTGTGGAGGATTGAGAAGTTTCTCTCTAAGGGCTCTGGTTTAAATTCTGTTTTATAGGGAAACCAGAGTTGCCTAGACAGCCAGGTTCAACTGCACAATATGAACCAGAGGCATCCCAGCTGGAGCAGTCTTCAGAAAGTGCACCTACTGATACAGAATCCCCGCACAGTGGTAGTACTGATGCAAACAACTTCTTTCACTCTCTGGACTGGAAAGGTACAGGTTTTCCTTTGAAGTACTGTGTGGTTTATGTTTGTCTTGTATGCTTTCCAGTGAATGCTTAAGCCTTCTTAGGCAGCAAAAGTCTCTAATTCACTAACCACGAGGAAATGCTATTTAAAGAGTGAGCTCTGCAGAATAACAAGTGGTTATTCTGCTTCATTTGGATAAACACCAAGTAAGGGGGTTTGGTGTTGAGTATAACTTAAATGCTGAGCTAAATTTTTCTTTTTCTGTAAAAAACTTAACCTTAAAGGTCTGCAAGGAAGCTTTTCATTCCCACAGCCCCACTTTGGCTGAGGAACAGAGGAAACAAGGTAGACTAGCCAGTGGGGTCCAGATCAGTAAGTAGGACTAAGAAAATATAATTTTATAGCACATACATAACTCCCTTTTCTGGTTGCTTCTGTGTTGTTAAAAATGTCAGCAGCTGCTTATGCTTCTAGTGAGTGCAGCAGTTACTAGGAAATCTTGTAAGCTCTAAGACACTTAGTGATCTGAGGTGAATGTCCAAGTCAGTCTCATTTTGAAAAAATTTGTAATGCCTACCTTTGTGGAGTGGCAAATACGGTAGTCAGCTGCTGCTTTTTCTACCTGTCCAAAGAGGTGGCAGGCAGCATGTAGTTCCTTTTTCATCAGTTCTTATATAAGTTTTGGTTAGTTAGGAATTAACTTCATATGATGTCACCATAAAAGTTTCTCTTTCCCTAGTCAGAAGAATAATGCTGGTTATTTAAATTTTATTTTTTTTTTTCTATTCAAGAAGGTAAAACTCCAGAAAGTGGAATAGAGGACAGTTCATCTAAAAATGATTGTGTTCAGCTGTCTGATGACAGGGAAGAGAGTGATCCTTCAGATGAAGAGTTCCCCACATTTCCAGATGAAGGAAGTGCAGTAATTGTTGATGAGAAAGACTCTACTCCAGAGGGAGAGTTGCTTTTTGAAGCCAGTTTTGAAACTCCATCTGCGCCATTACAAAAATCTCTCCCTGAAGAGAATGTAGACTTGCTGGGACTAGACTCTGATATTTCAGCAGAACAGAAACAACCTATCTCAGAAATAAACTCTTCATCAAGTAATGCTGACTTGTTGAACAATCTGTTTGTGAGCAGTGTGTCACAGGTTTCAAATGAGCCCACTGGAGATCTTCTTGGACAAGGAGCAGATTTCTTTTTCAGCAGTCAGCGTCCAGCTGCTACTCAGGGTTCATCTTCAGCAGCAGCTGTGTCTTCAGGTATGTAAATCAGTACTTGTCAGCTGGGCAACACATGAAAACAGCTGCTTGCCTTGTGCTTAGAAAATAAGTACCATGTTTCAAGATGGTGAATGGTGAAGATATGTCAGTCTGTAGCAAGACTATGAATAGAATAAATGTTACTTCTGCATGAAGAAGTTCCTGTACATTACCCACATATTCTGTTATGTTGCCAGTATCCTGTTAACTTTAAACTCTGGTAAATAGAAAAGTATCACATTTGAATTTCAAAGGAATTCAGTATCTTAAGGAATTTTTAGCTTTCCTATATGAATGTTGCATGCTGGATCCTTTTCTAAATCCATAACTTTCCTTGTTAAGGCATAGACTTGCCATAACTTGAACTTTACTTAAAGCAGTGGCATTAGATGTGTAGAGCTGTGCTGCTTAGGTCAAATGTCTGTGTGGGATTTTTAAGTGTTAATCACCTAAGACTGCTGAGCAACTGGAAATCCTGTAGATTATTGTTCAAACCAGGATAATGATACTGCTAAAAGATGTTTTCATGCTGGTTTTACTGATGTTGTTGGCAAGTCAGTATCCTTAAAGAGAATGCTATGTAGTGCTGTCTATTTGGTATTTAAGCAAGGTGTTTTAGTTCAGAGATTCTGTTCGTCTTACCAGTGAATACTCATCTCTTTGTCACTTTTTGGGAGTCACAATTCTCTGCCTAAAGTTAATAGTAAGATTTCTGGGAATATTACTTGCATAAGCTGGGAAACCACTACAAAGTTTTGTTTATTTGCACAAAGATAATTCATAGGTACTAAAAGCTTTGATCTGTAGACAACTAGAAGTATTTTTTACAGAGCGTTTAGATCGTTTGAGATGTTTTCTTATTTTGAGGCAATTCACTATTGAACTTTGTTACTGTGGTCAGGGAAGAATAATTGTAATTTACCATTTTTACACAGGTAGAATTCTATAAAAGGAAACCTTCATTACAATATCTTTCTTTAGCCATGTCTATTGCATGAAATATCTGATCAGTAGTCATGTATGTATCTCATTCTTGTAGTCATTCTCATTTAGTGTATTTCAATGAATTGTATTAAGAGAGATACTTGCAGAAGTGAGAATATTTGGCCACTTGTATTTTGGCTTTGCACAACAAACTTGAAGTTTTGTTTATGTGTGATGCTATAGTAAATTTGCTTGAAATGTCTTTGAGTCCTGTACACTGTGGTCATTACCTGAGGATGTGCTGGGGTATTACAGCAGGATTATTCCTTCTCTTCAGCTTCTGAGTGAATCTGGCAGGACTCCCTGGGCTCTTGAGGGGTTTTGACCCTAGAGGGCAGCAGGAACAGGAATATCTGAAGCCCTGATTCCAGCTGACTGTCACATGTTGCTCCATGCTGACTATAAATACTCTTCCAGTTAGTTTTTTCTTCACTGGGATCACTAGAGACCTGCCGAAGTCTTACTTCTATTGGTTTTCATTCTTGGGTTGACGTGTTTTCTGCCCCAGAATCGCCAATGCCTTCAAGTCTGAATGGTAGTATAAACATTTTACGTCATATTCTTTTTAATAGTATAATAGTCCATTTTCTCCAAATCTGTTGCAGATTTGGCATTATAGAGTATTTAACAAATGTAGTTCTTCTGTGTGTCAGATGGTCACACAAACTTTAGATGTGTCTTAAATGGATGAAATTAATGTTGTTGAATTGTATGCAGTCTTGCTGCTTTTTTTAGAAGACATAGCTGTTCATATTATATATAGCTGAGACCCTTTCTGTACCATGTGAAAGTAAGTTTGTCTAGAGGAAGGAATAGGTGGTTACTCTTTGCCACACAAAATTCACAGAAGGCTGCTGCAGTTACTAGCATGAGCTTTGTTTCTTGTCTGTGCCCTAAGAGGAGTAAGTATTTTTCAACTTCATTTATTCTACAATTTGTAATGAGATAATTTTGTTTTCTGCTTCTTTTTTAGCCGATCCATTTGACCCGTTCACAATGTCATCAAGCTCAGAGAATCAAGCCCTCTCTGGTCCAGACCTCTTTGGGGACTTCCTTAATCCAACCTCAACATCTACAGCTAATACAGTTCCTTCCACACAAAGTTCACTTCCACCTTCTTCCAGCTCGGATTTCTTAAATTTAGGTAAGTGTGATTCTGGTGTTCTGTTTCTCAACAGTTTCTTCTCTTCTATGCATTTGTCTTTCAGCTTAGTGGATTAGTAACTTAATAGATCCACTTGTTGTGATTGCTGTTTTAATTAGCTTTGTACTCTGGAAGTACAGATGCAAATGCATCAAGAAGCAAGTATTTCCTATAAAATGTCATGCTATTATTAATGATAATATGTTAGGAGCTGGAGTTTCCTCTCAATGATCTAATAACTGAGGATGCCCAAACATCTGGAAACTTATTTTATAGATGATAATATGCTATGTTGACTATATTCAGATTTTAAAGATTTTCTGGAAACCTTGGAAGACAAATGAGCAAGTCAAGTTGTAATATAGCCAGTTCTCAAAGTGCAGGCTGAGGCTAGCTTGCACCTTTCTGACCTGAATGTATTCTGCTAATATACTTACAAAGTACATTATGTAATACTCTAATCTTATTTGTTTCATTTCTCTGATATATTCTTGGCGAAGCCTTTTCCTCATGCATTTATTTTAAAATCTGTTAATCTTTAAACAAAAATCTTTGTGATATGTTCAGTCTTCCCATCATTCTTTTAGGAGGAACAGGCATTTGCAAAAATGGTGGAGTGGTAGAGCACTAGTGTTTAAGCTTTTTAAAATCTGACTTTCAAAGAAAAGTGTGAGCTCTCTCCATAGGGATTTGAGTTATTATCAGTCTGTGAAGGCTCTTCTCTGCTGCTCTCTCAGTCCCCTGTTTCTGTATAAGTGCTTCCCACAGGATACAATGTTTTAAGAATACAGGTCTGTGTAGGGTGCAGTCCTTTAGGAAGAAACTGCTGTAGGGATGTGGTTTTCCCAGGTGCTCCAGGTCCTGCCAGGAACCTGCTGCTGTGTCGGCTGCTCTCGCTGGGCTGTGGCTTCATCGAGGACATGTCCACCTGTGTAGGGTCCTCCACAGGCTGCAGTGTGAATATTTGGTCTTTTGCATGTGTTGCAGGGCAATCTCTGCTCTGGCATCTGAAGCACCTCCTCCCCTTCCTTCCATACCTGCCTTAATGTCTGCAGCGCTGTTTCTGTCATATCTGTCCCTTCTCTTACAGCTGCTGTGCAGCATTTTTAGGGGAAACATGTTTTCCCAAAGACATCTTGTTTGGGAGGCTCAGCTGTGGCTTGTGGTGAGTCTGCTGGAGCTGGCTGTGTCCAACAGAGAAGCCCAGGCCTCTTCTCCTGCAGACGCCTACTTACAACATGCAGGTAGCTAGGAATGGTGATATCATGCACCTTTTCCTGAATCCAGAGTGATTTCTTCCCAGGGCTTATTGTATGCACCTTTGACTTACCCCTCTTTGTTTAGCAGTTTCTCTAGTTGACTCTGCATCTGAATGATGCAGCCTGAGTGTTAGCTACAGATAAACTCAGCAGAAAAAAATACATTATTTGTCTGACTGAGAAAAGGGCTTTCTCTTTGAAATAAAAGGCTACCCAGCTGATTGCTCGCTCTGTGTTATTAATCATTATATTCCAGCTGTGATTGATTCTGCTGGAAAGATTCCATTTGCTTTGCAATGTTTTTGTTCTGTCCTGTTGATAGTAAGAGCCGTAGGTTTCAGTTGTGTACTTGTATAGTTACCAGCTTTATGCCGCTATTGCTCTCCCTGTGTGAGGTTACCAAACATAAATATTTTGCTTAATAGAAGATTTGATCAATACTCGTCTGTGGAGCAGATTCTGCATCTGGAATGGGGCAACCTGGATGCAGACATACTTGGGGAATGAGATGCTGGGAGGACCACCATGGAAAGGGACCTGAGGGTCCTGGTCGATGGCAGCCTGAATGACTGAGCAGTGCCTGCTCTGTCTTGGGGTGCGTCAGGCACAGCAACACCAGCCAGGCAAAAGAGGGGATTGTCCCACTCTGCTCTGTGCTGGGACTGCCTCACCTCAAGTGCTGGGGGCAGTTTTGGGTGCCACAGTATGAAAATAGACATTAAGCCATTAGAGACTGTCCAAAGAAGGGCCATGAGTGTGGTAAAGAAGGAATTCTCCCTTAAATGGAAACTGTATGAGGAGCAGCTGAGGTCACTTGGTCTGTTCTCCTGGAGAAGAGGAGATGGAGGGGAGACCTCACTGCAGTCATCAACTTCCTTGAGAGGGGAAGAGAAGGGGCCTACATTGATCTGATCTCTGTGGTGACCAGTGAAGGGACCTGTAGTTGTATTATGGGAGGTTTAGGTTGGGTATCAGGAAAAGACTTTTTTTCTCAGAGGCTGGTTGGGCACTGGAACAGTGGGAAGTGGTCACAGCACCAGCCTGACAAGAGTTCCAGAAGTGTTTAGAAAACACTCTCAGGCACATTATGTGATTCTTGGGGCTGTCCTGTGCAGAGCCAGAAGCTGTACTCTGTGATCCTTGTAGTTCCCTTGTAATTCAGCACATTTTATAATCTCAGCCAAAATCTAACTTACTGGAGAGGCAGCACCTCTCAAGAGGAGATTCTCTACCTGATGTGCTCAAAGCAGGGTTGCGTAGAGTGGGCTGTTCAGGACCGTTTCCTTTCTGGTTTTTAGCATTTCCAGTGCTATAGACTCTACAGCTGGGCCACCTATGCCAGGTTTGGGGAGATCTTAGAGGAAAGAAAGTATTTTTTAATGGAGTTCCCTGTGTTTAAGTTTGTGCCCTATTGCCTGTTGTCCTTTCAGTGGGTAACATGGAGAAGAGTCTGTCTCAGTCTTTTTTTTCTTTCTTTACATTATGTATTTTTACACATTTATAAGAATGTTCCCAGTTCTTTTCTCCAAGTTTAATAGTACCAGAACCCTCATATCAGAGAGGACACAGAAAAACCTTTTATGTGTTAAGTTAAAGTGGGGAAAATAAAATATGGATTTCTGTTCACTAAATGTTTATCTGCAGCCTTAAGGAGATGACCATCAATAGTCAGCTGTTAATAACATTTGAGCAAGTAGAGAAAAAAAAGGAATGTTTTCACATCTGACTTCAATGCTTATTGTTTTGTGCTTAGTCCTTCTGGTTTTACTTGATAGCTTGCACCCTTGTATTAGGATACCTGCTATTTTAATGTAATTTCAGGAGCTTTCTGTCAACATAGGAAAAGATACTTAAAGTGTACCCATTTTCTCTTCAGCCTACTGTTTTACATTGATTTCCTAATATTTCTCTATTGCTATGCAGTCTTTAAAAACAGTTTGGAAGTGGAGGAACTAGGGTGACATATCATACTCCTTTATATTTATTTTTCAAATGAGAGCTTATATGTGTGTTTAGCTGAAATGGTGTATGTATTTGAGCCTTTAGCATTCTATCAGTTACAGGTATCAATTTTATCAAGTAAATAAGGCATATTAATAGTTATGTTGCTCTTAATGTGAATTTTTGAGTCATGAAAGGACAGGATCACTAGTAACTGGAGAAGAAAGGAAAAATAAGAACATGTTCTCAAATGACATATTCTGTGTTAAGTGAGCAGAAGATAGTGCAAACATAATGTCATTAAAGAGAGAAAAAAAAATTAAACGAACAGTAAATTAGTAGTAATGGCAGTGACCATTCAAAATAAGCTGCAGTAATGAAATTTGATGACTCTACTGTTAGAGCAGTTTTGTCTAGAATCAAATTTTAGTGATAGATAAGCTTTGTTTGTTAGTACATGGTTAGTAAACTGCTGTAGATACCAGGAGAAAAGATGTTTCAGTGAATACAAGTTCAAGATGTAGAGCTTTAACCTTGTATTCATAGATGTTGGCTTAAAATTGAAAATCATAGGAGTTTTAAAATGAAAGATATTTACACAATATCTGGTCTTTTAAGGCATGCTGTCCTGTAACAGGATAATGTTGTGCTGTTGCTGCTAAACAGCTGTGTATTAACAAGGTAACTTAATTTTCTTCTGTGTTTTTTAAGTAGTAGATCATTTTTAATGCAGGTTGAGTCAAGATATACTTACCTCAAAGACAGCAGGAGATTTGGAAGGTGATCAAAAGAAACCTGAGTGATCAGTGTAGCTTCCTCCTGAGGAAAAGTTAGTTCCTGTGAACTTGAGTTCTCAGACAGGCTTTAGATAAGGTTAAAGAAACCTTGCATCATACTAAACCAGCCTCCTGGTTCACAGAAAATCCTGTTGTCTGTGATTAAAGGATTTCCTGTAGACACGACAAGTTAAATAAAGAAAACCTTATGTGAAGTTGTGTGTAGTAAAATGCGGGTCTCTTATTTTGGGAAGCTGGAAAGTGTGATCTGATTACCACCAACTGATTCTTACATGTTAGCTTGGTTTGTACAGTGCTAGTAAAGAACAACGTTCTTTGCCATGACCTCCAGTGGTTAATTGCTGTATGGCTAAGGATTATCAATATGCATATTAAAAAACTTGAGACAGCCAGGTTTGGATCTTCATGTTCATGATCTTAATTGCTTCCATTTTTGGGATATCGAGCTATAGTTCATGTTTTACCATATCTTTAGTAATTGTGCTCCTTTATCTTAATGTGTCTGTATGAACTGCAATGTGTCAGCTATAAAAACAGGGATTCAGTATAGTTGCATCATACCTCTTCAGAACATGTAGAAGTCAAAGTATCAAAGTCAAAAAGTTGATAACACTTTTTCTTGATGTTAAAATCTGACATAATGCCCACATTGTAAAATTAAGAAGAAGATAGCATGAGAGAAAACAGTTTCAGGAAGAATGGGTTATCTGTTCAATATATTGTACATTGCATTGTTTCAGATTTTCCTGATAAGTGTAGTGGTTGTATATGAGCTTTTACTATTAATAGTGAATTTACTGCTACACGTAGCAGTAGGCTACTTCCTGCTTAGTTCAGGTTGGGGGAGGTAAGGAACTTGACTTCTCTTAAGCCAACTGTTACAAAACAGCTCGTTCCCATAGTATGTTCTCAATCCTTCAAATGCATTTGTCTGTAATTTAATTTGTTCTTGTTTCTCTCAATTTGTTTTCATAGTAGTTAATTTCATATGATGGTCTTAATTTTCTTATGCTCCTGTAAAATACTTTTAATAGCAAAGATTATAGAACAAAATAATTTCTAGCCTAAAAATCAATATTAATAGTAATTCAAGACCCACTTAACTTTGGAGAGTGGAATATGATACAACAAAGTTCTCAGCTGATGAATGGGTGCTGATTTATAGCCAGAGACACTGCAGTTTAGCAGATAGCTGGGTACTGAGACCAATATGTATTGTTTTTCCCATGGTTTCAGAGGCAGGGAGATGAAGCTTGGGTCTGGAGAAAGGGCTGGAAATGGTGGGTACTTCTTGCATTTTATTCTGATGTTTTCCCTCACATGCAGCAGAGAATACTGCTGAAATACAGGCTTTCAGCAGATATTTATTGCACAGTATTTGATGTGCTCACTTTGCAGCTGTAAGATCTAATTATAAATGGTATTAGTAGATTGAGATACTATAGGGGTATTTAATGTGCTTCTAGTTATTTCCTTAATGAAGAGAATTTGATATTAATATTTAAAATATAAAGCTGAGATACTGAGACAAGTGAAAGGCTGTGATGTAGTTGAGACTTTGAAAGCCTCAGAATGTTACTGCTTTTGTAAGGATGGCTGGGTTAACCCTATGTCTGTGAAATGTTTTAGACCACCACTAAATTACTGAAATATCCCCACTCCCTGTAGCACTGAGTGTTGTTATAGTATTAAAGTAGGGATTACATTCAAAAGCTATCCTCCTTCACTGTGAGTCTCCACAAGCTCTGCTCAAGGAGAATGCTCAGAGCTGATATGCAGTTTTGAGTGTTCTGTACATAGCATATATCATTCTGATGAGGATGGCTCACCTCATAGTTTGTATGAGTGATAAGTGGGGAATCATTTGGAAGTGTCAGGGATGGCAGTTATAATACCTTTAGATGGGATATGACATTTTCCAGGAGTTAGTGGAAGCACCCTTGCGTGCTTTTAAATATGACAATTTCATTTAGATGTCATGGTCTATAGAAAAGTGGTTATTATCCATGCAGCTAGAGATTCTTAACCTTTTCCCAGAAAAAAATCACTCTTGCTGTATCCTGCTCTTCACGTGTGTGCTTTCATTTGTGTATTACACCTCAGAGAGTGTATTAGTTGGGCAAGAGGCCCCTTTGTCACAAGCAGCCTGGGTTAGGCAAACCTGCATTTTGAAGTGACCTGTCTTCACCTGTCTAACACCCAGACTGCTGAGTGATAAAGAGCACCATTCATGGAGCACTGCTGCTTTCCACTTACCAGCTGTGTTGTCAGAAACAGCATCGTGCCTTAGATCTGTACCTGAGCTAGTCCTTTGGATTGGGAGACCTAAACTGCTAAATTCACAGCATTGCCTGTGCATGAAAATTCCTTATCTATGAAGTGCGTGAGATGTTTTAAAATAGAAAGGGAGGAATTCCAGTGGTACAACCCTTTTGAGTCTGTTTAAGACTGCACAACGGTTACCGAGAGATTTAAGCAAGCTGTGTAGCTGACAATGTGATACACATTCTATTGGTATTGGCAAATATATATACTATTATAATGGTTTTCTTAAACGTGAAAACATTTACTTTTTCTTCTGTAGGCAATTTGACACCAGAGCCACCTAAAATATCATCATCTACAAGCCACCCAGATCTCTTAAGTGGATGGGATTCTTGGGCAGATTCCTCAACAACCAGCAATGTAGCATCACCACAGCTGAAGCCTGTTTGTGAAGGTATTATGAAATTAAATTTTTCCATTAGAGGACTGCTCCAGACTGGGTCAGTTTAATCACCTGAAACTGTTGAACATGTCTTCATGCATTTTTGCTTTGCTTCTTAAATGCTCTTTTAGTAAAGCACTTGTGTAGTTTTTCAGATTAAAGTTCAAGACACATGAATTAAATTGTTTCAATTCTCTATAATAATGGTGATTCCTGTAATGGGAGAAGATGTTGTGAAGTAGAATACTGGGGAGGTTTGCATGAAGTGCTGTGCAGATACTACTTTTATTCTTTCTCTCAATTTCCAAACAGATTAGGTATGTGATGTGTCTTCTTATTATACAGGCCAAGCTTTTACCACCGGAAGCCAGTCCAGTGTGTCTTCAGGTTTGTCTTTTAGCCAGGCGAAAGCTCAGAACTTTGATCCTTTTGCTGATCTTGCCAATCTGGGATCTGGTCTTCCAGGTAAGATCTTACTTTTGATAGACTATATTTACTGCCTCTGCTGTTTGATTTGCTTCTCATACCGATAAATGTTGCTGACAGCCTATAAAGGGAAGTGTTTCCTTTTAATTGTCAACATCTAGCTTGACGTATTTGCTGAGACCTGGTGAGTATCAAGAAAAGATTGAATCTTCCAGATATTTTTTTAAATATTCAAAATAATATTTCAGAATATAACTACAGCTGTGATGTAAGAAGAGTAAAAATAATTAATGCTTGAGAATTGAGTTGAGAAGGTAAGAGAAACCAGGAGCTGCTGATTCAGTAACTGAGCATGAGGTTTCTTACCTAACATTGATTAATACTGTTCTTGAAGGATTTAAAATGAAAGGAGGATTGAATTAGTTAAATTTTTTTTAGTTCCAAAGTAACGGTTAATTCAGTACTTTCCTTTGAATTCAGCAGACTTTCATAGCTCTGCTACTCACATCTACCATGTTAGTAAGATAAGCACAAATCAAGGGCTATACATTGCACACCAGTACCAAAAGCATTATGAGTATCTGTCAGTTTGCAGTGAAGGGCACAAGGAGTTCTGGAAGATAAGACACATTGCAAAGTAACTCTTGCTCCAGGGTGTTTTATTGGCCTGAAACTCGGGAATTTAGTCTTGTAGCAATCACAAAAGAGCTGAAGTCCTTGCGTTTCAGAGCCCACACTGCCATAATAAATGTGACCAGCTGCCCAGGGTACATGGAATGATTCAGAGCAGCCTAGTGTTGCTGAATTGAGCAAACCTGCTTTTTCCCTTAGCTTGGAGCTGAAGGAGGTTTTACCCTGTTGCCTTGGCAGTTAGTACTGTGTATTGAATTGAGTGGAATTGTTGTAGAAACACTAGGTAGCATGCAGTGTTTGACTTCTTCATGTTGCTTGGGCATAAGTGCTGCAAAATTCTGCTGTTGAAGCAGTACCAGTGAGGCTGCTTTGCAGTAAAAAATGTTCAAAGATTTTCTAGTGTAATAATTCAGGTTAACACAGGTTGTTAACTGCACAGATAGTGTGACAGAAAAAAAAGTCTGTTTATTCTTGACTTGAAGATATAGGCATAGCCCACACTAAATCAGATTAAAGAAATGAAACTAATTTTAGCAGGGTCAATTCATTACTCTTTCAGTTAGCTTTCAATAGGAAAAATGATTGCATTAAGAAGCAGCCAGATGTCGCTGTCCTAGTTAATGTTCTCAGGAATCACAAGAACTGGAATTTTCAAGGCGTCACAAGAACTGGAATTCAGTTTTGGAATACAGCTGGAATACCACACTCTTTTGTATTTTTCATAAGAGTTTTTTGGCTTCCACATACAAGATGCTGTTCTGGAAGAAAATTTATGAGAGTGCAAACTGCTTAAATATAAATGCTATATAAATCCAAAAGAAATAGCAGCTAAAAGTAATGAATGCTGGTGTATTAGCATACTGGTAGGATACCAATAGTGTTCTGTGCTGGTTGGTGTTATCACACTCTTCTTTAGGAATGGTCTTCTATCAGAAAGTAGGAGTGTGGTGTTGAAAAGTTTTTGTGAACAGTGAGGCATTGACTTGTCCTACAGGAAGAATTTGTTGGCCTAGAAAAATTCAATAATGAATTTAGAATGTTTTGAAAGAATAGGTGAAAGAGAGATAATTTTTCAGTATGCAGGGTTATTTGCTCTGACTAGTAACAAATTTTTTTTCTGTAAATTTCACAAGTTGTCACTGACTTGAAAAAAACTGAATTGACTGCAGTTGAGTGATTTAATGAAAAAGCAGTGCATTCCTAGATTTTACTGGGTGTTGTATTGCAATACTGGGTTTTATCAGGTGTGATATTTCAAGATATAGTATGGTGTATGGTACGTGGCCCTGGGGAGACATCCTCTTGTGCAAGTTAGAGGTATGAGCAGCCACTTCAAAAGGAGAAAAAAAAAATGAGAAAAGCATCAGGAGAGCTGAAGTGTGAGGAGCCATTTTTGAAAGAGCAAATCAAGTTTGCATTGCTGTGTATACCCAGACAGGCTTGGCCTATGCCAAAGGAGGGTGATTACAGTATCTCCTGCAGTGCTTTTCTTACTCATGTGGAGTATATTCCCTGTGAATGCTGCTATAGAATAATGTTCTCATCTTCCTTAAACAGCAGTGCAAGGAATTACTAGAGACTTTGAAAATCTTCTCAGTCTGTTACCATTTTTTGTAATTAATTATTTATTATGCACTGCATATTAGCAGAAGTGGGAGGCAGAACTACTGTCACAGCCATATTATCTCCTAGCCTGACATGTGCCTGACCCTTCAGATAAGGGTGCATGTTTTTGCTAAAACGGACATTTGAAACCTTGAGTTGTAAGAGAAGACTTTCAGTAAAGCCTCCAGCTCCTGCTATCCAAGTTACTTCTTAATGAGGCTGAACTTCATTTTACTCATGCCTTCCTTTACACTGTGAGCTATGTGGTTATATATTAAGAGCAAACTGTCTTACTTGTATTAAATATGTGACAGGCATTGAACTGAACAACTAAGTTAGTATTTCTTTGTTAGGTTCATCCACTGGTGGACTCTTGGGTAGTGGATTTAGTCAGAAGACTGCTCCATCTCAGAAGCTAGGAAATCAGTGGCAGAAATCCTCCAAACCACCAAGTACTTCATGGCAGTCCCAAACTAAGTCCAGCACAGCAGCTAAGCCCAACTACACAGTAAACTTCAGTGTTATTGGGGGACGAGAAGAAAGAGGAGTCAGAGCCCCAAGCTTTGGTAAGTTTTTTGAATGTGTATTACTTATAATGTCCCATGTGAAGTTAGTTGGGTGGGCTGTTACCTGCAGAAGCTCTTCTACCTTCATATTTTTATTTATATTTAAGTTGTGTCTAGTAGAAAACAGAAAAATACTTGGTATCCAAATCTGGTATCCTGCCTTTCCAAAGCTATCCCAGTACATAACAGATGAACTGATGATAGCACAGGTAAATGTGAGTTTGGGCGTAAAGTCTCAAGGCTATAATTACTCACCCACATGAGAACTGGTTTTGTATCAGTGAGTTTAGAAAGGTAAATTTGATCCATCCGGGGAGAGATGGTTGATAATGTTGTTTCATGTTAGCCTGTTTGTGATACAAAGATAAAGGGATACACTGTTTTTCTTAGCTGAAGAAGAGTAGATTGTCTTGAGAAAGACTGAGGTTAAAATTACTGAAAATTCTTGTTTTTGAAAGAGATGTGGGGACAAGACCAGGTAGAATCATACAGTCTTTTAACACATTCCAACTGAGTAGGCAAACCTGGAGTTGTAGGGTTAGGCGTGGCCTCTTCTGTATGAACTTTCTTGAAAAATTTTGTTTTCTGGTGTATTGGTATTAGGATTATGCTTCCCTTAAACTGACATATAAGTAAGTGAGCAGCAGATACTTCCTCAAGCTGTAATTATTCTGTTGGTCCATACCTGGAGAAAGGTGTCAGGATGCAGAGGCAGTCAGTATAGGTTGCAGCACAGGAGAGTCTGTAGAACAAGGCAAAAAAATCAATTGGCATGATGAAATGCTGAAACAGGTTGTTGTAATTCCTCTCCCTTCCACCTCAGCTGGACAAGGGCCTAACAAATATACCTGGTTGTCCCTGCTTTGAGTGGGGATCAGACTAGACAACATCCAGAAGCCTCTTCAGAGTTCAGTTACTCTACAGTTCTCTGAAATTTGTTGGTTCTGTAATGAATATTCATGTTGGTATTTTATCCATTCATTATTCTGGATAAGTTTCAACATGCTTAGGTGTTGACTACTTCACATGCTTTCAATGATACTATAGAGTATACGGTTACTTGAAAAACTGCTGCATAGCATTTGAAACTAACTTACAGTGGAAAAATGGAGCCATTTCCAAAATTGTGGATAGATGTGTGCTCCCTTAAATCTGCTCCATTTTTTTAAAAAGGAGGACATGCAAGTATTTAGTCCCAGGTTAGCATGTTAGGTTGTCTGCCTGCTGGACTGAAAGTTTGTTAAAGATCCCTTTTATTTTTATCCTTTTTAGTTTTGTGGCTTTTGGCGTCACTGAAGAATATATTTATCATAGTAGTGATAAATGCCATCCAGGTGTATCTAAGGGCAATATATTTCCCCTGATAATGCATTCTCCAGGGAAACTTTTCATTAAATGTTTTTTCTCTTTTCATAGGTCAAAAACCAAAAGTTTCAGAAAATGACTTTGAGGATCTCTTATCTAATCAAGGATTTTCAGCGAAATCTGATAAAAAGGGACCAAAGACAATTGCTGAGATGAGAAAACAAGAGATGTCTAAAGATATGGACCCCTTGAAACTCAAGGTTTGTTTAACAGTGATTTTGAGTCAAGTGAAAATCTGATCTTATGCTTAGACCTGCTGATAACAGAGCAGAAGGATACAATGACCAACAGAGAAACTAAAGGCTAATGGTTTAGAAAAGATTAATTTAGCTGATACTACAAAAATACACTTTAAAAATGATGCATATGAGTATAGCTGTCTTCAGGGTGATCATGTACTTTCATTTTCTGGTTAATAACTGCTGCTACTGTCCTAAGAAATTACTAGAAGGTACAATTCTGGAGACAGGATTTATAACTAGTTTGGGATGTGTTGCTTGCTGTTCAGATTTTTTTGACCTGTTAGTCATTGATAACTTCACATATTAATACACTTCCAGTTTTTTAGTCTTTATGATGCTTCAGAAAAGTTTGTAAATGAACTTTAAAGGAATGCTGAAATTTGTTTTCACAAAGTGTCCTTGCTGAAGAGAGAGTGCATGGGTACCTTTTAACAGAAATCACCACAAGTAGAAATAAGTACAGATGTTTAGTTACCATCCTCACTGGTGATAGTAAGAGTTCAATGAAAACACTGTATCCCTATGTTATGGCTTGAATATATTGCTGTTAAAGTCTGAGCAACATTACTGTAATTGACTTTGGGGATCTCAAAGAGCACTTTAGTCTGTGTACCTCTGCATGTTGCTTAAGTAAACATGAATTATTACTAGACATTATCTTTTGTACAAAGCTTGTACAATAGAAGTTTTAAAATATATTTACACTTTTGTACAAATCAAGTAATAATTTGTGTGTGTGCCCTGACAGGGAAAAGATTAATGTAATATCTAATTGTAACAGGTGTTAATTACTCCTGTCATTTCTCTTGCAATGACTGAATTTCTGCAATAAACTAGTAACAATGAGCTATTCTCTAGTGGTAGATGCAAAGTATGACTTTTGAGTGGCTAAGACAATTGAATTTGGGGAGTGACTGCAGTAGGACAGCTGCACTTGAGTCGTGATCATATAGTCTTGCAGAGAGTGAGGATTTTGTCTCTAGAGGCTGAGAATGCTTACAGTGCTGCATTCAGTTCTGTATATTCTGATTTTCCCAGATTCTTGAATGGATTGAAGGAAAGGAGAGAAATATCAGAGCATTAATATCCACTCTACATACAGTGCTTTGGGAAGGGGAAAATAAGTGGAAACCAGTCAGCATGGCAGATCTAGTAACTCCTGAACAAGTAAAGAAGTACTACAGGAAAGCAGTGCTTGTGGTTCATCCTGATAAGGTGAGTTTTTTCCTCTGATCTTCTTTATTATAGGAGGAATACAAACTGCTTTTACTATACCATACTGGTTACTGGCAAATGCCTTGCTTCTCAATCAGCACCCTAGATGTTCTTCACTGTGCTTCCATTGTCTTCTGAATGTGGTGTCCTACTGCATTCATGTGGTACAGAATTATTCTTGCCATCCTGACACAGCACAGAATTCAACAGAGAAGGGTTAACAAATGAAAGATCCCATGAGGGTTGTACTGAGCACCAAAGTCAGTCATGCTGGGTTCTGACTGACAGATGTCAGATGGCAGATTTAATGCTGATTAGTAGAATCTATTTCATTTCTGTGAGCTAGTACTTCAAGTCTTTTAGAACTAGTATGGAGACTCTGAGGCGGCCACAGCAAAACTGGTAGGAAAAACCTGCTGAACCTCATTTACTAAACCATTTTTACTAAAAAAAGTAAACTTACTAGAATAAACAAGTTATCAGATGAAAAATATGTAATGAATATTACATTGCAGCAGGCTGTTTAAAAATCAATGCATTCCAGTGTATCAAGGTAGCTTCTTGTTGTGAGCTCTTGCATTAGATAGAAAGAGAAGCATTGGATATACCTGGTTTGAATTTTCAGGTTTGCATTTACTGGTGGTTTAGTGAGCAGTAGTCTAAATCCTATGTTGTCTTGTGGCCATAACAAACATGACATTTTTTGGTTTTTTGGTTCCTCCTCTCCTTCAGAGTTCTTGGGTATGTGACTTCTACCTTTGTTGTGATTTTTTAGGTGTTTTCTGTAAGGCCCGTAATGCTTCAGTGTCAGAACACAGCTCTGTTTAAGGCATATTTGTCTTCCTTTTTCTTTTATTCTGCTACTAACCTGTTATGTGTCAATAAAGTACTACTGGTGGCAAAAGCTAAGCAGCAGGAGAAGGGGAAGGATACTGGAGGGTGCTCTGGGTCTTCCTTTTTTATTGGAGAGAACCACCTTTTGGGACTAGGTGTTTATTAACCAAAAGGGCTGGATTGTGTTGGCCCAGAGTCAGGGTAGCTGTGAAACAGGCAGGGAATCAGGAGTGTACTATCTTTGAGTATGGAAGCAAACACACAGGACTGTGTCAGTCATGTTGAGTCTTAGCATCATTCATAACCAGCAACAGATTTTCCTCCAGGAAATTTCATTCAAAATAAGTTGTCTTAAAGAGGACTCAGATTTTATCCTTGTACACTGCTGCAAGATCTTTCAGGAAGCAATTCTAAAAAATTACTTAATTTGATTAGTAAGTAATAGTAACTGAAACTATTTATGAAAAGAACAGCTTTGAAAATTGTTTTTAGCTAAATTTCAATTACTTATAAATTGTACTGAAAGCTTCAATTTCGATTACATATAAATTGTACTGAAAGCATAAGGAAATCAAGGATTTGGATTTCTTAAAAAATACTCATGGCAAGCTTTGGATAAGGTTGGAAAGAGTTCTCTGTCTGTAAAATTATATTAATAGAGCACTTTATAGCTGTTGAATAAGACAGCAAATGTAAAAGGGGTGGGATCTTTTCTAAAGACCTAATTTCTAATGTTTTTATGCTTATGGTGCGTTCTCTTTGTTTCCAGGCCACAGGACAACCCTACGAGCAATATGCCAAAATGATCTTCATGGAATTGAATGATGCGTGGTCAGAGTTTGAAAACCAGGGATCAAAGTCCCTTTTCTGAAACTTCAACTTTCACAGAACTGCTTCCAGAAACTGGAGCTGATCATTGTTATGACTTTATTGCGCCTGAGATTTATGAAGCGCTTTTCCACGATTTCAGCACAGTTTCTAGTTATGCACTTAAATGTGGGGATGTATTTTGTAAGATGTAGAGTACAAAGCATTACATAGATGCATTAAGAAAAAATGCTGCTGAAGAAATCAGTCTGGGAGTAAGGGTTTCTCTTCAGTTTTGTATAAGAAAAATAGAATTTGAATGAAGCTAAGTAATAAGTGATAGGCTAGTATTAGTTATAAATCATTCCAACTTAATTGATCTTTGCTGTACCTCTACCGTCCCAAATTTGTCTGTTACTTCGAGTAGTTTTGTGATTAAGTTTTGATATTTGGTGCCTGTTGCCTTCTTCCAAGTGCTTTAGTTAGCAGCAGTGAATTTGCTTGGCTTATCTCAAACCTAAGGGTGTATATTTTCATCTGTATTTTATATAATCAATCTGATAATCATTCTGTAAATAATGTTTTCTGGTAATATCTGTGTTCTTTACAGTAGAATAGCAGTTGTTTAGCCAAAAAGACAGCATATGTGGGAAAGTCAGACAGGGTTGTTCTTGATTTTTTTTTTTTTTTTTTTTTTAAACATATCATGAATCTAAAAAGAAATTTTGACTCTGAGGTCTGCATGTTCCTGCTGTTTTGTTTATTTATTGCAGTAGTCTGACCTGTGCTTATTTTCCTAGTTCTTTAAATGGTGTCTTTTGCTTCTAAATTCAGTGGAACGTTCCTCTTATTGAACTTCAAATACTCTGATAGAAACAATTTTACTCTGAAACTTGAAGTGCAAGCACAAACCTTTTACTGTGCTTTGATTTGTCTGAGTATTATTAAATCACTCATTGTCGTCTGGTGAGCATTTAAAGTGCTTTAACAAACATTTTGCTGCATGTTTGCACTTGTGTATTTTTGAGATACTCATGGCATCAGTGCATGTGAAAACATGGTGTGTCTTGGTATACTGTTGAATTTCTGCTCACCTATTTCCATGCACTGCTTAGTGCAAGATGAGTAGAGACACAGCTTGGTAACAAAACTTGCCATGTTTTCTCATCCCTGTTCAGAAGGCACTTTTTCACTAGTGCTAGGGTGGATGATGCAAACAACCAATGACTGTTATACTCTGTGTAATAACAAAATGCAATTTTCATATCAAGTTTGAAAATGTTGAAAATTAGTGCTGAGCTATTAAATCTTCAGCAACAGTCTCCTGAAACCAGACAGTTGGGCATTCAAGGGGATATTTTGATCATTTGCCTTTTTTATACATTCTGCATGCTTAACTGAGAGGGAAGCTGTATTGTTAGCAGAGGTAACTGTTCACTGAGCAACATCTGAACAGGAAACATGAGATTCTAATGCCACCTGAAAGGTACCTAGGATGAGATTTTCCACTGCTGCACCAGCCCGAGGGCTGGTGGGTTAGAGACTGCTGAACACTTGCTATGCCTAATCTCTAGCTCTGATATAACACAGTTACTTATTAACCTCTGATCAAAAGTTTTGTTTGTGTATATTTGCATATATATTTAGCTGCTGTGATTTTTCTTTTTTTTTAAGGTGAAGCTAGGATCAGTTATGAATCAGGAAGGTTATATATTATTCATAGCTGCTGTTGTACGTCAGTTACTGCTTTGAAGCAGTCTTAAAGCTCAGTAGATTTCTTTACAAATGTATGTAACTTGCTGTCTGATTTAAAGTAAGAGTTAATCTTTTTTCCTTTGGATACTTCATTAATTCTTTGTGTATGTGTTCTGCAACCATGGAAATTGAAGGCTTCTGCTGGTAGGATAGATTTGTGGGAGAGCTTTTTACAATTCTAGGGCAAATGCTATGTAGGAATAGGTTTAAAAAGACAAACACAGATATATAATGACTTTGACGGTAGTGCTATATACAACTGAGAGATAAAGCATTTATAAGGGGGCTGCTTAGAATAAGGAAGGACTGCTTTAAAAACCCATGTTCATTCAGCACGTATAGGCAACTTCATTTTAAGGCATACATTTTTAATTGCTATTTTCTTGAAATATGTGTATAAAAATTTAAAACCTGAAATTTGGGAGGCAAATATCTTCCTCTGCTTTGTATATTTGGTAGCGTTTTCTGGATGATGTCTACATTAAGCTTTTTTAAATTTCTCTACTCTTGCTTGCAAAATTTTCTTGAAACATCAGAGAAGAACCTTTAGATGTGATTTTAAGTTAGCAGGGAAAACATGAGTGCAAGTATTTTACCTGGAACTGAAGATCTCTTGAAATTAGCTCTCTCTTTTAAAAATTATGGCAATTCAAGAAATTTGGCTATGGATTCTTCCAAGAGCCATTACATAATTACTGAAACTTCAGCTGGGTTGACAGAGCTGCTTAGCTTATTTTATGGCTTAGTCAGCTCTGGTTCTGTGGGGGAACTGGCTCATTTCTCTGTCCTGCTCCTTTCTACATAATTGAATTTTGCTGCTAAGAATCTGGGACAAGCTTGGCTTGGTAAACTGATAAATCTTGACAATGAAACTATTTTGGGTAGCGTGTTTTGATTTTGGTTTGATTTTTTTAACTGTGCCATTTTTCTGTGTTACATACAAGAATGTGCAAACAATGGGGATTTCATTAAGATTCTGTAAGCAAATTGGAATCTGGAAATTAAAAAAAGTTCAAGTGGTGAATATAAACATAATAAATGGAAGTTTTGTTTTCTGTGCAACACAAAGCAGCATGAGGACCACCAAAGATGTTTCTTAGTGTAAGGCTTATATATTAAGTACAAGAAGCTGGGAAGAGGGAAGTTAAAGTATATTTCATATAAATGTGTGTTGAGTCTTACTGTTGCTTTTATAGGAGATGGTAATTTGGAAGAAAAAAGTCCAGCAGTTTTATGAATTCATCTTAAAACAGTAATAAAAAATGGTAGACAATCTGGGAATGAGGGCTTTTCAACCTGTTGATTTGTACTTGGTCGTTAATTGTCTGTCTGCTGTATGAACTAGGAGTTCTCAAATGGTAACACACATTTTTCACTGTAGTTCTATTCTTAGTGTCCACAAACTGAAAAGCTTTTAGAGCAGGCCTCAGAAAAAAAATGATTAATCAGAGACTTGGCTGGATTCTGTCTTTTCTTAAAATGTTTATTTTCCATTCATGTTAGTTGTTCATTGCACAGTTAAGTTTTGAAGTGTTGAAAGCTGAACTTTAGATCTGCTTCTGCTGTCTGTGAAGCTTGAAGGTGACATCACTGGGTGTTGCCTGCAGGTTGATACTCTGCATGCATGCGTGTGCTCCAAGGATTTGCACTTGAGGTTCTCTTATGAAGCACCTCCTTGACTCCTGCAGCGACTCATGGTGCCTGCTGGCCCATGTTGGTTCTTCCTCTGTCTGGTAACAACACCTGACTAATGTCATATATTTTTTGCAGACTACCAGGGCTCACTTCACAAAAGTAAGTAGGCTGAGATGGTTAGTGCAAGATAAAAGGAAAACAGCACAAGATAGGTTAAAGGAAGAGTAGAGAAAAACACCAGGGCTCTAAAGTACATCTAAAATACTGTTTTCTAATTCTCTCTTCGCTGACCTATTGCTGCCTACCTCTGCTAAAAACAGGTGTAGACTAGTAGAGAGAACCTGGTTTGCAGCCTGCTTTTCATTCCTTTTAGAACACTGCTGACTGACTGTAACAAGTTGGAGTACCAAGTCCTTAGCTTGCCCCCACCAAAATTTATATAAAACAGGTTTAAAAAATGTATGGGCAGGTTTCCACTAGTTTTTTGTTTTTTTTTTTTTTTTTTTAATTACAGATTACTTGTGTTACATTGCTGTTAGATCTGGAGAGTCCAGCAAAACAACTTTTAAAAACAGAGATCTGTGAAGAAGAATTGGTGTTAAGAGAGTGTGTGGCTGGAGTCTGCCTAATAGAAACAAGTGAGGTATTTTAACCAGAGGAAATCAGTTGGTGTCTTCAACCACAGGCATGCCTTTGGTGTTTCCTAGTGCTGTCAGAGTTCCTTAGGAGCAGCAAAGAGTGTTCGTGGTTAGTTAGACATAAAGTCTGGAAGGAAGAGGTCCTCAGCATTGTTAGTTGGGTCAAGTTCAGCTATTTTGCTAATCAGTGGTAGCTTCTTCAGCAAGTACAGAACAGAAAACCTCCAAAAGTACTGATGAACATTTCCTTGGAACAGTGGCAGAGTCCTTGGTGTTGTACTTGTGAGGGTAACTAGTGCTCATGAAAAATGCCTTGTTTACCTCCATGTTCTTGGTAATTCTGAACAATTCCTCCCATTTTGTCTTGCCAAGCACAGAGCAACAGTTAGTTTGTGAAAGCTAAATGCACAAGGTCAATTTTTTGCACAAACCAAAGCGGAGTTTCAGCGTAACAGAAATCTCATCAGGCCTTGGGGCTGATGGGTTCTCTGCACCATTCCACTTCCCGAGGCCAGACTGCAGTTTTCCCAGCAGTGGCAGTGTGTTTGCATACTTGCTGGCCACTGCACTCACTGCTGTTTTCAGGAGTAGCATAAATGTGGAAACCTTGTTGCTCATCTGTGTCCTTAATTGTCTAACAATTGCAATGTAATGGCTGCTTTGTAAATAAGTTCAAATTAATCTTGTATGACTCAGTTGACATTTTCTGTCAAGAACTTGCAGGTGATTGACCTGTGAAAGCTGTAAAAGGAATGTATAATTTCCCACCCTTTGAGCCTGTCCCTGGTGCAGAGCAGCTCTTGCACCCAGAAGCTCAATGATGAGGAGCTGAGCTCTGGTTCTGAACTTGATGAATCTTGCAATGCTTGCTTACTCTCTCTTTGGGTGAGCTTATTGTGGACTGCAGCTTAGACTGCATTAAACTTCCAACATATGCTCCAAAAATACAAATTCAGTACTTTTTATGAAGGATACATGTTGTCATAGAAGCTTTTATTACCAAAAGGGGATTAAGAGGCATTGTGGGAATTCCCAAAACTCTAGTGGAATGTACTGTATATTTGATGTAGATTTCTAGAAGTGATTGTCATCTCTCATAAGGTCTTGGCTTGCTCTGAGATCCTTATTGTATTTACCTGTAGTTGTGATTGTACTTTCAATACCTGTGTTTTTTTCCGATTTGGAGTGTGTGGAAGGACAGAACAGACATTCAGTTCCTGGTTTTGCCATCTTTCAGGAAATGCAATGTACTGTGTAATTTTGCTACTAGTGAAATGAAACTTATACCTATATGTATATAAGGTAAAATGGTCAAATTAAGCCTTGTTTAAAAGTAGATTTAATGTTTGGTACAATGTCCTTGAACAGAATATTTTGCTTTGGAATGTATTACAATTTAACCAGTGATCAATTAAAACAAACAAAATAACTTTGTCTATTTCCTTCTTTACCAAGAGAGAAATGGCCTGAACACCTGAAGCATTTCCACTGTGTCTTCCAGAATAGTCTGCAAATGTTAGAGAAGTGGTTCTTGTTATGTTCAGGTTGACTGAACCTGTTAGGGGCTGAGTGGCTCTTGAGAAGTCTCTTGTGTTGGAGAGGGTCGCTGCAGTGTGCTCTGGGATTTGGCAGCTGCATTTTCAAAGTGCCTGTGTTGGGTTGAGGGGTTCTTGCACAGGAGCTGCTGCAGTGCTTTTCCATTGCCCAAGGGAAGTTCTGGCTTAAGTGTGTAGCAGTGATCAAAGGGAAGAGAACAGGAGCACATGGACACGACTGAGGCAGGAGAGAGGAATATGAGCAGCCTGTAAGGATGGTGGGGGGACACATTTGGCAATGAAGAACTGCAGATGGCAGGAATCTGAGGGAATGTGGCATAGCAAATGGTGAGCTTCTGCTGGGAGCGTACTGACAAGGTGCCCAGAAGCATCTTGACTCCATACTCTGCAACAAGAATGGGCAAGCAGGATCTTTCATAGGTGGGAACAAGCCACTTGGTGACATTGAGAAAGTTTCTTTAAAAGTTAAAAGCACAAAACTATGGGATTACCACTGGGGCTTCCCAAGGAGAAGGGTAAAAACTGGCAGGAAATAAGAGAATGGACAGGCATGACCAAATTATCCAGTACCAATGGCCTCTTAGGCAGAAGATTGCTACTGGATAATGTTTTTCATATTTTGCTTACTACTTTGAATAATCTGATGGGTTTACAAGAATTTATGATAGATTACTCAGTGCCAAAATGCTAAAAGACCTCTCTCCTTGTATCATGTACAAAACATGCTACCACTTTTGCTGCTGATCAGTTCATTCCTAACATGCAAAGATGCTGAAAAATGTATTGATACCTACTTCTGGTTCTTCACCTCTGCAGCAAAGGAGGATAATGTTAGTCAAGTGCATCTTTCTTTGCTGTATGCAAGGCTTCTGGCTACTCTGATGTGAGTATAGAAAGACTTGAGTTGGGAGAACACAGCAAATAGAAATCCTGAAGACTCAACCTACCAAGCATCAGGAATTACACCAGGTAAGCAGAATGCCTTGCAAAGAGATAGCATGGCCATAAAATCAATATCAAACAAAACAGAGTGAATGGGGATTAAAAGAAGGCAGCAGAAACACTCTGTGTACTGTAGTGTGCAGAGCAGCCGGTAGCAATCAAAGCCTTCCAAGTTTGCAGTTGTAGACACCTGACCTGGTTACAGTAATGTTGGAGATGATCCTGCCTCAGCACTGCCTCCTTTCTAGTACAAACTTACAAGGAACTCCTCATCTCCTTTAATCTGTAAAGCTGCTGGCTGGAGTGCCTTCAGCTCCTAGTCAAAGCTCTGGACACACATGAAATAATGGTGGTGAAGTTTTCTGGTGTATAATGGTGCTGGCAGACCCAGCCATTATTAATTGGTGAACTGCAATGCTGGTTTCCTTGTGCATGGCTCTGCTGAGGAGCAGGACAGCACAATTACTCTGCAGGAGATGGGATTGTCAGTGTGCTGCAGCCCTGACTCTATGCAATGTGACCAGCACACTTCTGATGTGCCAGAGGAAATGTGAAGGAACAGCTCATCCAGCTTGCTCAGGAAGCTGATTTAAAGTACAAGCTTTGGTTTGCCATTGCAGGGATGTTGCTGTGTGTGTGCTATGAAGCAGTGAGTATTCCATAATAGTTGAGTTTGGCACTCCTGCTGGGTCTGCTCCTCTCCTGATCCCTACTAGCCTAGTACTGTCAGTCTCATTACAAAGTTCAAAAATGCTGCTGACAGCATTCCTAGAAGCTGTTAGAGAAAGAAGACGACTTCCCTTTTATCAACAGTTCCAAGATTTCATCTTTCTCTGGTCTTCAGGAGTTTCTAAAGCAATGGATTCACTAGGCTTCATGTGGAAACTGACCTCCAGCAAAGGAAAACCAGAAACTGTTCTAGAACTAGAAACCAGACCTACAGCAGTTAGCTGCTGTGGCGGCTCTTAGCTCTTCCTTTCTTGCTGCACACCTGCCCCGTCCACATCCTAGCAGTGGCTCACCGTAGAGGTAAATAAGGTGCCAGGTTCTGTTCTAGAGATGTATGAACCACAAGAACTGGACTCCTACACATTTTTTCAATGGATTGAATTAAGGCTGTTGAGCCCAGTGTATACTCTATCTCATTTCACGCTGAGATATTTTTATATACTGTGGCTAAATTTGCCTCTCATGCCTTTACTGACTCATCATGAAACCAGGGATGAATGTAGGGTTTTTTAAATTGTCATTTTATTACCAATGTTTGATGTTTTGTTTGTTTTTTTTTTTTTTTTCCTCAGCTATCTTCACTATGGGAGCTGCCCTCCCTTTTTCTTCCCTCACTCACTTCTCTAGGCTTTTCTGCTGCTCCTACCACCAGGAGCCTAACACCTATTAGACCTGGAAATTCCTCATCTGCTTCTGCACACACACTGCAGCTGCTGCCCCACATGTGCAAGGTATGAGCCTCTGTCAGATCTCTTTACTTCTTTTTCCATGTGTGGGACATCATGAGGACCACATCTCCTGTGGAGGGTTGAATTGCAATTGTTTACAATTTCCAGATGTATAACAGGATGTTTGGGGGTTTCTTATAAAATCTTTCTAGGAATTAATGCAAGGGGGAGAGGCAGAAGGGACATCATTCTGTGCTCTGCTTTTTCTAATGTGGGCAGCTTGTTTTGGCCTGTCCTTGGCCCACAACTCCTCTCCCAGGTAACCTCTCCTGGTGGGTGGCAACTGCACTGCTCCCCTGAGTAAAATGCACCTGATTTCATGTGGAATTTTTTATCATCAGTAATCATGTTTCTTTATTTTGATTGCCATCTGCTGGCAGAATGATGTGTTCATCACCATTTCACACGTGTCACATATGGGTTTTTTTAATACTAAGCATTTTGAATGTGTTTGTGTAGTTTGTATGTGCATGTTGCAAAAAAGGGCTGCTTTTGGATGTCTGAATTCACAGGCTGACAATGCCGGAGGCAGAGCTCACAACCTATGAGAACAGATGCTTCACAAAGTGGAGAGAAGCAAGTAATCTATGCTGGAGAATGAGGAAGAGGAGACATGCACCACAGGAGTCTTGAAGTTCAGGTGGGGATGGACACACGGACTGGAAACAGCACAAGAGAGCAAAGGGCTGGGCAGCAAGCATCCAGGTAGATCCCGGGGCTGTGCCCTGCATTTGCTCAGCCTGTGGTGAGTAGGTGTGACCTCAGCACAGACACACAGTGTTTGGAATGCAGGTACTCAGACAGCTGCAGGGAGAGGAGAAAGAACAGACTAAGCACCCAGAGATTCTGGGCGGTGCAAACGGCTGTACTGTCCTAACACCTGCTCTGAGTAAAGGAGGCTGTAAAATGAGTCCCTGACAGTTCAGCCCAGGCTGCTTCACCCGTGGGGAGATTGTGTGAGGTTCCAAAGTGACTGCAAAGGGTACCTGCCTGCACAGCCCAGCGCTAGACCCAGGGTTAGCATCCTGAACCAGTGCTCTCATGGAAAGGCCCATTTCTCACCAGTGTTTCTGTGCCCCACCACGAATGCCACAAAATTCATCTGGTTAGCACCTTGAACACTCAAAGTCAGCTTCTGAATCAAATTCTGTCCTGGAATGTTTCCTGTCTGAAAAAAAAATGTCCACAGCTTCAAAGGAAAATTTATGTACATTTATTAATCCCCGTGCAGGATGGTATAAAACTCAGCCCAAATGACAGCAATTCAAAAGGATGTAATACCAACAAGACCTCAAAAACAAAGTCTGAGTTTTACCTGGATGAATGACTGAAAACTGCATCTTTAATATGATCAAGCATCTTGTGTAAGGTAAATAAAATTAGATGAGCTTCAACTTTTAATTCCATTGCTGTGAAGTGTAATGTGTCTGCTTCAAATGAGAAATCACAAATGCTGTTGTTTAATTTCAGTTCTATGCAAATAGTATTAGAAGATTACTCCAGATGCTGGAAGATCAGAATCTGCTGAATTTTTCAGCAGATCTTTAGCATAGACTGGAATTCCTGTTGCTATGATCCATGGTGGTGTTTAATACTTTATATCCTTTTCCACACACAGGCAGAAATGCAAAAGCATTTCCCAAAGACATTTCTCCTGGCAGTGTTCTCAATTTCTGCAGAAGCATCCAAAGAAGGAGATGTTAGAAGACCATGCTCTTATCCAGAATTGTGAAATGAAGCTCCAGTTCTGCAGAGCAGTGGTGTACCTCTGTGTCCCCTAACAGGAAAAAGGCTGCATCAGTTTTAATGACCCCCACTGGACAGTGTACAGGAGAAGGCACACACCTGCCTACTGTGCCAGTTTTGTCCTCCAGCCAGACCCACCCCTGCATTTTCTTCCAGGAAGTCACTCAAGTTCAAGGTAAAGAAAACCAAGTAATCTTTCCTTACCTTTGTCTTAAAAATGGCTCGAGTTTTCCCTCTATATTGCTCTTGTGGGCTGCCACCTGTAGGATTGAGTCCACCTCTGTTGCCCTCTGCAGCATAGGGGTATGGACCTGTGGAAGTGAGTTCCAAGGAGGCCACAGAGAAGATCAGAGGGCTGAAGCAGCTGTCCTTTGAAGAGGTCACTCTGAGGTGACCTCCTTGTGGCCTTCTAGCACCTAAAGGGGGCTTATAAAAAGGAGGGAGAGAGGTTTGTGGACAGAGCATATAGTGACAGGACAAGGGGCAGGAGTTTTCCTGGAGCTGAAGAACCTGGACGTGTCCTGGCATGATCTTGGGCACAGCATTGCTCCTGAGCTGGCTTCTCCAAGATAAGGAAAAGAGCAAAAATTTTGTCCTAAAAGGTACAATGCTTTGTTTATAGCACTGGTTACTTCATCAGTATCTTGCCTTATCCCTTCCTGTACATTGTTCATTGGCATTTCACAGCATTTTCCTGGAAAATGCTTTGTGGATGATGGTTA